GGGGGGGGGGGTGGACGCGTTGGCATGGAGGTACGCACGGACAGCGTTACACAGGCTAGTCAAAGAGCGGCTTCGCATAAATATCCCAGCACAATGTTTCATTAAAATAATTGGGCATTTGAACCCACGCCCTACATGAGACGACGATGATTGGTTTGACGTGTGAAAACGTGCTCACTCAGGGCCATAACCATCATGCTCACGGATGGGATCTGATCCCTTATATGTATATGCGTAAATGATAGATAGATAGATAGATAGATAGATAGATAGATAGATAGATAGATAGATAGATAGATAGATAGATAGATAGATAGATAGATAGATAGATAGATAGATAGACAGACAGACAGACAGACAGACAGACAGACAGACAGATAGATAGATAGATAGATAGATAGATAGATAGATAGATAGATAGATAGATAGATAGATAGATAGATAGATAGATAGATAGATAGATAGATAGATAGATAGATAGATAGATAGATAGATAGATAGATAGATATGGGTAAAACCGCAATTATCAATGTGGGTGCGAAGATCAGATCACCCTTATTGTAGTTGCTCGACTCCGCCGAACCTCATTATTGCGGCGATGCTCTCTCGTATGTACCACTGACCTTTATGTTCTCTCTTCCAGTGACTGATCGCGCTCTTATGAGCTCATCGGGCCGCGTAGGGTGTTATAGTAAGCCGTCTGTACGCAGTATAATTTCTCATAATTTTTATACGCGATAGCAACGCATAACGATATTCAACTGTCTCGCGTGAAAATGCCGGCGCTGTCACTGTCGACAGGTGTTTTCTTGCTCTCGAAGTTCTTGTCTATTGAATTCTGCCTCAAGTGCTCTAAAAATGTGCCGATTGATGCGACCGTGACAGTTCAAACCCTCAGGTGATGCACGTTAACGAAGCAAGTGTTTCGGCGTCCAGAGCGTGCTCTATCGTCCTCTTGTTTGCCTGCAGAAAATAGAAAAAAAAAGATCCGCGAAACAGAAGATAATTATCTCCTACCTTTGCACCTGGCGTCGTCGCGTACCTGGCCGTAAGCCAGGGAACGCTAGAGGTATTATCCCAGGTTCGTGGAGATTTCGATAAAGATTACGAACTTTGTATTGGCGATGATGCACTGATTACAGTGCAAGTAAGGTTATATGTCCTTTTAACATTTGTAGCTCGTTGCTTTTTCCCCATATCTAATAAGCCACATTTCATAAAAAACCAGAAATATGGGGAAAACGGTGTTCTTCGTGCTGATTGCGTCCATTTTCGGCGTGCCCGTCTCGACGTCAGGAAATACGAACATCAACGAGGAAGAAAGTGAGTATTGCGACGCGAAAAAATAATTAAAAAACGTTTCGCTGACGGGCTGTCGCACTTTTGATGATGGTGGTGGTGGTAACCTGGGCGCTTTGGGGCGCGCGGACCAGATCAGACCAAAGACCGTTGTACGTGTGTATGTTTAGCCGTCGAGTATGATCGAATTACAATGAATAAATAAGGAATACACTTTAAGCGGAAAGAAGAAAAGCGATTACCTATTACTATTTTTGGCGAATCTGGACCTTCTACACCACGAATATACTTTTTGGGAGAGTAGTGTATCCCACAACTCTCCAAAGGATGTGTAATCATATCCGAAAAGTGAGTTAAAGCGTGTCTTTGGGAGCAGTATTATATGCGTCGAGTCACGAGTGACCCAAAAGTGTGATTGCGGATACTGCTTCGGCTACAGTGCTTAGCTTTAAAGGGGCTTGAAATTATTCGCCACATAGGTGCGTGAAATGTATCTTAAATATGTCGCATTGACTGGGCCATTCATTTAAAAGCCATACAAGGAATTAGTAGGGGGCAGCCCACTCTAAAAAAAAACAAAAAAGTCCTTTACTGTTTGTCCTCAGTCCTGATTTGTCATGTGTACGAATATTTCTATAGAAACGCGTCAACACTCCTTGGAGATCATTAAAACCCAAAAGAGAGTTAGGGTGTCTTCTCAGAAAGTCGTGTAACAAATGCTCTTTTATTTCTCGTAGAGTACATTGTTGTACTCATCGTACGAATTTGAAGGCGTGGATATGTTGTCGGAATGCCTCGATGTCTCAGAAAACTTCGGAATCCAAACTAGTTTGTATTTACTATGGTCAGTTGTTGGGCTAGTTGGTTCGACGTCTTGAATTGGGAGCGTCAATTAGGTCAAGCTATTTCTGTCCTGCGTTCTTCTTTTCTTAACCAAATCCGCGCTCCCCTATGCAAGATGTTTCGTATTAGTCACTCGGTACGTCATAATAAAACATCGAGTAAAAATGGTGTCTTTTTATCCTGCAAGGATAAACAGGGATATGCGGTCCCAAACGATTGCGGCCCCAAAGCCCTTTGCGTCTGTTCGCTTGGTGTTAAGCAGGAGCTAAGAAATTTCGAATAGGGTCTGTGGTGCTTTGGACGCTCCCCCTATAGTTAGATTCAGGGTGTAATGACGTGAACACACTCCTACAAGGGTGACGACATCGACACGAAATCGATTGTGTGTTGTCACTCTCGTGGGCTTGTGTTTGCACTTTCACTCGCTTGCTCTACAATGAATCAACTCGCTCAAAAAAAAAAAAGAAGCTGTGATAGATTTTTCTAGATTATTCTAGTATATATATAAAACAAGAGCTGCAGATTTACTGAGTGCTTTTACGTTTGTTTGACCAAAAAATAGAGGCAAATATTTGGGGGGCAGGCATTGGGACTCCCGCAAAACTCGAGATATAGCGTCCCCAACGCAAAGCCTAAACACATTTCGGGTCTCGCGCATGCTCAGTGACCTCAGCGCTTTTTTATTTGAAGCCCCTATTTGAAAATTCTCTGTTGCCATCTGGTTCGCTTGGATTGGCTTTCTAAGGTCAAAATGTTTGAGGTCAGTGAGCTCAGATTCGGGTGCACGTTGAAGAGCCCCCGAGTGGACGAAAATTTCTGGAGCCCACCATAACGACGTCACTTATAACCATATCGTGGTTTTGTGACGCTAAACCCCTGACTTTATTATTCTTATTGTTGATTTCCTTTCTCGAAAATCCTCGGCGCTTGCCACATTCCTATCAAAAATATGTAACGCAGACATCGCGGATGCCATGCACGACCCAGAAATGCTATAGGCGCGCTGCGATAATGCAAGGAAAGGTACGCGACGCAATGTAGATGACTGCCGTCGTCGCGGGCAAAAAGAAAACCTTTCTACTCGCTCTGCTTTCAAAATTGCAAACGCGCCAAGCAGCCCGGTGGAGCTGGGAATCTGTGGCATCCAAATTTCGCAGCTGTGCAGGTTAAGAAGTGCTACAAGGAGCTGGGATGCTTCGATTCTGAGGGCTTCTTCCATGCTCTGTACCGACCCGTCAACTTCTTCCCCGACGGGCGAAGTCTGATCAACACCATGTTCGCCTTCTACTCGCGTAAGAACCCGATCAAGGAGAAGATTATCAAGTGGTCGACGCCCGTGAGCGAATACTCGCGGCTGCCTTTCAACGCCAGCAGGCCCACCAAGGTCATCACGCACGGATGGCTGGACGCGGTGTACTTCGGACAGTGGATGACGGTGAGAGGAAATTCCTTGGAATCGGGCTATACATTTTTAACTCCTTCGAACGAATTCAGCTATTGTTTCCAGTACTGGCACAGTTAGTCCAAGTAGCATGGAGCAACATTATAGTGTCATGAATGTTTGATATTAAGGAAAAAAAAAAGCTTATTTACGTAGCATAAGCGAGCCCGGTGCAGCGTCGTTGAAGGTACGGGGAGATTGACATAAAGAAAAGAGGGAAAAGGAGGTAGCTACCTTCTCAAGATGGCTGTCTATACCGTCGAGCGCCAAGTCGGGGCACCACTCTTTCAATCCGCCTTTTTTCAAGGCGTGACGGCGCATGCGTCCTTCACCTATAGAGGGAGTGTCGGGAAACGCTTTGATGCCAGCTTTGGTGCCAGCACGTTTTTCTGATCTCAGTGGCTTTTTTTTTCGATAATACCCGTTGTTCCAGACCCCTTCGCAAGTCTTCACCTCCGCCCCCTCTCCCAACGAAAACAACGAAGGGTAGCTCAGTCGAATTTTAAAGAAAGCTGGTTAAAAGAACCCGTGTCTTCCTGGTAGCGCTGGTAATTGAACTCAGAGCTTCACGCTTGGAGGTGAACGACTGCCATCGCTGAGGTTTGACATCATCACCCTACTTAATGTCATAATCATTTCTTTGAACCTTTCTCGTCCTAAAAACCCCCACGTGTGTATTGAAGAATTGCAGTTAGGAGACAACGTTTGCGAGCTTTTTTTTTACTTTTTGAAAGAAAATAAATTAAATGTGCAACTACATACAATTCACAGGAAGCAAACAACCATTTATTGAATTGGTCGACACTGAAGCTATTGGAAGCTTCTGTTCACCTGAGCGTGCCTGGAAGGTAGTTGAACTGCCAAATCAATGCAAAGATCTCGTGATGCTTCCGTGGGGTCAAGGTTCTAATGAAATCAATGACAACGTGCCATCGACACCGAGTTTAGCCAAATGATAACCATGACTTCACATCTAGTAGCGCAGAGACAGCAAACTGAAATTATTTAGTGATGTTTATATTGTATTTAATGCATTGAATGAAACAAGGAGTGATAACAAATTGTTTTACTTATTTATTTCTTTGTTTGCTTGTTTATTTATATAAAACACTTTGAATGCTCAACGGCGTTGCGGAGAAAAGTGGGTAATACATCATTACACGATGTTGTTGAAAAAAGCTTGAAAAGATAAATAGTCTCGGCCGTCGGCGATGGAAGCTTGCCGGTGGTTTCATTCAGGTAATCTTTCATACGCACACAAACTTAAGAGGGGTGGGAGGATGTGATTCGAATAATCTGACAGCAATGACGCGTTGATATTGCAGCGATCACATCATTACCCGCTCTTCAGCTTCGATTCCTGGAGGTTAATATGTTAATGGCTTGACACGGTGCCCGGAAACGTTCGGTAAAATAGACGCATATCGCAAGTTGAGTTCCTTGAGATGCCGCCTTGGTTTCGTGTGGAACAACACAAAATCTAATTTATTTGTCTTATTCATGTCCCAGAAAATGAAGAATGCTTTGCTATTGAACGGCGACTACAACGTAATCACCGTTGACTGGCGAGGAGGAAATGGACTGCCCTATGCGCAAGCCACAGCCAATACGCGACTTGTAGGGGCCGAGATAGCCACCATGATTCAGAAGCTTCAGGTAAGTGATACGTTAGCCTAAGGCATACGTGACGACGTTACTCTTCAAATGTCACTTTATTACATCGCTAACTAATTTTCTAAAGCATTCCTAATGGTAAATAAATTACATTAGAAATTACAGCGTGTCGAAAGAAATAGCATTACAATGTTAGTTTCAAATGGTAACGAAATTGCTTCGAAATTACTTTAACAAGTTCATCATTTATGCACAGTTGATGTACACTTACACCCAACACGTATACACTGACACTTCAGAAATCTTAATTCAAATTTCTTTGATTGAAGTTTGGCACTCAGAATGACTTGTCTTCGTTACATTTGTTTCATTTTCCATTCAATTCCACTCAATGCCACAAGAGAAGCGAACATTCTATATATTGGTCAAAAGTAATTGATAATAATAGTAATACCTGTAGGGGGTTTAATGTCCCATAAGCACGATATGAATATGAGAGACGCCGTAGTGGAGAAAAGTAATCACCAATTTTCTAGTTCACTGGCTTGAAGTTTTTCGTTGCATTGCTAAAGTACCAAACCAGAGAAATAATTCAGTAGATTACTCATTACATCAAAACTGGCTTAGTTACTGCGGTTTTTTCGGCGCCATACTTGCATCCCAATGACCACTTTAACCATTTCTCTGCGGTCCAGAAAGTGTTCAAGGCAAACGTGTCCACTTTCCACATCATGGGCCACAGCCTGGGAGCCCACGTCGCCGGATACGCGGGAGAGAGGATTCACGGGCTTGGACGAATAACGGGTCAGTGTTTTTTTCACTCGTATAATAGTAAATATTTTTTCTTGGTATACAAAAAAGCAATGTTATCGATTTCATTTTTATTCGAAACCCCACGGCAGCACCGACAGTGACGACGATGGCAAAGATGCACCGCGAATGTCCATATAAACGTTTTAGCAATAATATTATAACAGAAAACAAGTAATCGGCAACCGACATAAATTGCCCTGCTGTGGACGCGTCTTCGGTAGTTCTTTCGCTCGCCACTTTTCACAAGCTCCTATTTTAGCCTCGACCGAAAAACGCTTGCACTAGCAACGCAGTGACTCTCACAGCCACTATATTAATGGAGCATCTCAGAGGCGCAGCTTGTACCCCTGGTGGCCGAATCTAACAATATCTGTCTTACACTGCCCACAGGTTTGGATCCTGCTGACCCGTACTTCCAACACATGCCTGCCTTCGTTCGGCTGGACCCGACCGATGCGCGCTTTGTGGACATTGTACACACCGATGGAGGGACGGTTCTTGATTTGGGTGAGTTGCACCGTCGTCGGTGTATAATGCAGGATCAATGCTTTTTTCTGGCTTTTTGTCGTATAGGGCGTCACTATATACTTGGCAGTTGCAAAATTACTGCGAAAGTACCTTAGTGATATTGTCAAATGGTCACGACTGTAAAGGGTAAATGCAACCCCATAATGCTGAAACTCCTTATTTGGCGTCCATTTCCTAGAAAACCTTATATTTCAACAATTTCGACGCACACAGACCATCAAACTGATGGTCGACAAAACACGTTGTCTCTCATGCATAATCGATCGAAATTTCCAGCGTTAGCTGTACAAATAAGATCGATTACTTGAGTCGCGTGCGCAATCGTATTGTAACACTATAGAACTATCGCAATTTTTTATTATAAACAATTGGGCGTGGCCCGCACGAAGCAGTTTTTGTAGGTGAAGGCCGATTACGTAATAATAAACCAGTAAGCGCGGATAACAATATATTAACAAATTTCGGTACATCTGTTTCGCCCTGATCGACGACGCTGTTGGTGAAATTGTTACTTCTCCAACTAAAACTTGCGGGACGTAAAGTAACGCCACGTTACGTGACATTAGTGCAAATTACATTCTTTTATTTGTGTCGTTGTAGACGCTTACCGCTTGTTGTGTGACTCGAGCGTGTCATGATAAAATGGTTCTGTCATCTATACACAGTCCAAGGGAAAGGCCTGGGAATGTACGAACCGGCAGGACACCTGGACTTCTACCCTAATGGCGGAAGTAAAATGCCTGGGTGTTCTTTCGGAACGAGCATATCGTCTACTTTCAGCAAAGGCATCATGCAAGGTAAGCAAGACTTCGATGTCGCCTAGTCGATTCCAAAAGGTGAACTGCATGAAGTTAGCGGGTAATATGAGGGAGAATTAGGAAGAAAATGGCAGTACCATTTATATGTGCAAATTAAGGAGAAAGAAAAACAAGTCAACGTAAAAAAGGCAACTTGTGCAGCTAAGATCTAAATGTGAAGCCACATTTTCGGGATGGCGAGCGCGACGTTCTATCATCGAGCTTTTTTTGTACTTTGAGAGGCTGTTAAGGTGCCCTTAAATGCCAATTGCGGGACTCTAAATGCAAAAGAGCTGCCCCTCATTCGGTTGTTTCTTTTGTCTACAAATGACTCAGTCGAACTCGTATCTTTTAAGCATAGGATCATTCGAGAAAACCGAAAATATTTGCGCTGACGCCAGCTCCGGGCTAGGACACTAGCACGAGCTATTGGACCCTAATAAAGTTCTTTCATCTATCCATCCATCCACACGGACGCATCGGCACGCTATTGAGAAAAAAGAATTCATATACTGTAATGTACCCAAGCACGAAAACTGAAACTTCAAAAAGAAAACATACAATGCGAATAGAGACAGCGAGAAATTAATCTTTCTGAGCATCCTGAATCAACGGTAGTCTTATAAGATTGTGCTACACACTAAGAAGAGTCTTTTGACTCCTTTCGTGGAGTCCTGACTTGCCACGTATGACTGTCTCTATAGAGACACGTCAACTCTTTATGAATATTATTATCTTTGGAAAGTCACCTGACCCACGTCAGAGTTAACGGGCTGCTTTAAAGAGTCATATGTGTGGCAAGCTAAAACTCTCTTGAAGGAGGTACGCATACCATACTCTTTTTTCATTTTCCTTAGTGTGTGTGAAGTAGCACTGGCTTGGCATTAGCCTCCGGCGTTGACTCCCAAGCTACGCCCTTTCGCGAACCTGCAGCCATGCGTTCTGCCGTCGTGTGTAACCACGAGCGGGCCGTGACGTACTACCTGGAGACAGTGAGTGACCGGACCTGCAAGTGGATGGCCTTCGCCTGCCCGTCGTACCACATGTACCAGCGGGGCCAGTGCTCGGACTGCGGCCACGATGGCTCCCGTTGCGCGCGCATGGGGTTTTACGCGGACAAGTGGAAACCCAAAAGCAACACCTCGGTCCGAATGTATCTGACCACCATGAAAGCGTACCCGTACTGCGGTGAGTCTTCGTTGCAGTCAAGCGCGAGAGTGTATTATACCGAGCTCCACCAAAAGTGTAGCAGCCGCGTTTCCGTGACGGAAGTGACGTCAACAATGGGGCATTGCTAATTTTGCAGCATTGGACACCAGATCTTTTCTTAATTCTTTCGAGTTTTTCATTTCCTGTTTCTTGATTAGCGTGTGGTTCGTCCTTCCTACCTCTTATTTAGTTCCCACTCTACTGTCATGATTATCCTTCCCGTTTCATTTCTTGCTGCATCGTCAGGAGAGAAATTTACACAGCCACGTTTCCGTAACGGAAGTGACGTGAACAATGGAGCATTGTTAATTTTGCAGCATTGAACACAAGATGTTTTCTTAATTCTTTCGTGTTTTTCATTTCCTGTCTCTTGATTAGCGTGTGGTTCGTCCTTCCTACCTCTTATTTAGTTCCCACTCTACTGTCGCGATTCACCTTCGCGTTTCATTTCTTGTCAGGAGAGAAATTTACACAAGTAAGTTGAGAAACGATCGTCCCCATCGTGGACGGCGCCTTTTTTTACAAAAACCAAATTAGGCCGAAGCAATGGGTGCAATAAATAATAAACAGATGTGCAGGAGCTTCACTAGATGGAGATTCCGACTATTCTTAACACCACCCTCCTTGATTCCTTCCTTGCCTCCACTGCCGCGTACAGCATGAGGAAACACCAAGCGAAGTTACACATGTGATTTCTCATCAGTTTCACTCGGTACACTGAAGTATCTAGTTCGTCTCTTCTACTTCAAGCTTTCTTCGAGCACAAAATACAATACGATGAACTTTTTCGTCGGTCTTTTTTTTTCAGCTTTCCAATACTCCCTGATTATCGAGCTTTACAAGGACGACAAAACTGTATCGGCGACCGGATATTTCACCCTTACCTTAGACGGAGAACATGGGAGTACCGACATCCAGATAAACAAAAAGTACGTACCACTCAAACGGGAAAGGGATAAAGCAGAGATTGTGATAGATATGTGGAAGTTGAAGGCAATGTTAGATGCCCTTGCCAGCTACGGTCGGCAAACTCATTCACTCGCGCCTTGCACGGACTCGCATCAAACCATGAGCCTGAGGAGTCGTTCCACGGGAGCAATATGTCTTGAATCTGAGTCCTAGAGTGAGTCCCGCTGAGTAACTTTTTGGTGAATCGGAGTCGGAGTGATTCCCAAACGCAAAGTATATTTCTTGAGCGTGTCTAAGTGAGCTACATCTTTTTGCCTACCTGTACTTACGAGAGTACCATAACTCACTATTGGTGACGGACCCCAAAAATGTCTGCATGTGGGCATCTAGTTTAGTTATACTAAAAAGGGCAGGCTACTGACCTTTTTCCGACCGCCTTTTTCCCACCCCTATGCAAAGTAGCAAGCCGGGTACTTGTACCGGGTTCTTTGATCTCTCTCCCTCTTTTTCTGCCTCTCGACTGAGGGAAATGAAATTCATAAAATAATCAGGATGGGAAGTAGTGCACATTATTATTATTATTATTATTATTATTATTATTATTATTATTATTATTATTATTATTATTATTATTATTATTATTATTATTATTATTATTATTATTATTATTATTATTATTATTATTATTATTATAAAATAATATCACTGTAGTTGTTGTTCCTGAATACCCAATGACAAAAAAAAGACAATTGAAGCGAGTTAGCAGGCTTGCAGCTGCCACCTAAAAGTGTGGCGGCTTGGGCTAGTTGGTATGACATGACGATAGTTATAGCGCGAGAACAGAACGACGACGTCTTCGTCTCCTCCTAATCCCTTTCTCGTCGTTCTGTTCTCGCGCTATAACTATCGTCATCGTTACAGCTGCCATCTAGAAGAATCCTGGCGCACAACGCCTGCCTACTTTTTCGGAAGGAGGGAAAGAATAGGCCAAACGAGGTTGTGAAAGAAAGCGGAAAGACGATATAGGCAAGGCATGCATTCAAATATAGTGACCGGCAACTTACGGATGTCCCTAATATGCAAGGTGCACAAACACTACCCCCCCTTCCCCCCCCCCCCCCCGTGAACCATGCAATATAGACTATTTTACGGATGGGTTTAACTGTCGCTATATTGGGCTGATTTGTATTTAACAACCAACAGAACCGTGTTACGGTAGCTGCATACGCATGAAAATAGTTTGGTTGGTACACACGATGTTTCATGACCTTGTTAATTCAAGTGGCGGTATACAAAAACAAGAAAGCACAGGATTAACAGCCGAAGATTGCAGCGCCAAGCTGTCTTACGGGTGCCCCGCCGCGGTAGTCTAGTGGCTAAGGTACTCGGCTGCTGACCCGCAGATCGCGGGATCGAATCCCGGCTGCGGCGGCTGCACCTCCGATGGAGGCGGAAATGTTGTAGGCCCATGTGCTCAGATTTGGGTGCACGTTAAAGAACCCCAGGTGGTCAAAATTTCCGGAGCCATCCAGTACGGCGTTAAACCAACATATCGATCGATCAATCAATCAATCAATCAGATGTAGTACGGGAAAGACTCTATACAAAGGGAGGTAATGGCTACGTCCCTACCCTTCCTTTATAGCATGCGTACCCGGCGCCACTGGCGCCGTCTATGCGGACGAACGGGGTACCGAGACGGTAAACTTTTTTCACCTCGCGTGCAGGCCATTGACGCTGTATCCGAGAGCTCAACACCCGTTCCTGGTAACGACGGACAAGAACGTGGGCAGAATCCTGAGGGCCTCCTTCTCGTACGAGAGCAGTCGCTACCTTTTCTTCCGGACAAACCTGCAGCTGTGGAGAGTGCGCGTGTTGTCCATGAACGAACCGGTGAACAGAGAGTAAGTCCTTTCGCTCCTTGTCGTATGCAGGCTAGACATCACTGTCCGTACGACATCTTCGACAAGACCTTGGTTCGAAAACTTACAGCTTCCGTTAGGCATTCGATTAGGAAGGCGACAGACATCCTGTTTTTCTTGCCACTCGATGTATTGACCTTCTCTGCCCCCTTTCGAAAGCTTTCTGCACATAACGCTCTTTTTTTGCTGCCTCAAGTGTCGCAGGCACTGCAGACTTTTTGCACCTTGACAAGGTTTTGCATGGCCTCCGTGATCAAACCACCCTTCAGCAAGCAATGACGGCATGTGATGACGTCACCACGTGGCGTCAAACATTTTGGCAATCTGTGACGTTATCAAGAGATGATTTTTGCATAACTCATGTTGACTCATCACTCATGTCGAATAAAAAATATTTAGCAGCAGCAGAATAAAAAATATTTAGCAGAAGTTGTTTGACGAAAATTGAACAAGGACAAAGTACTCACAAAACAACATTAGTTGAAATTCGGAGCCTTTCCTGTCGTTTTGTATGTCTTTCGTCCTCGTTCATTTTTCGCCTAAAAGTTTCTTAATATACAGATTGCTTATTTTTTGTATACATAACTGTACGCCCTAATATGCATTGCTATATACTTCATTTTGCCCCTCAAAATTTCTAATTTTTCCGTTGAAGCACTATGAGAAATGTACCGGATACTTTTTGGTGTTTCATTAGGTGAAACATAAAAAACGGGGGGGGGGGCGGGGGGGGGGGTCTGATTAACGTCTCAGATAATGTTTTGCAACGGGCACCCAGACATTCAATATGTGGGCTGCATAGCCCAACATATATGTTTAGTATCGCCTACGATTTAATATAACTCAAGGTATTCACAAAGGAAACTGAAAAAAAGTACCTTCTTATGCGTATCTTTCAAGTCTGCGCACGGTACTTACAACTCGCCATCGCGCTACGGCATGCGGACATAATAGGACGGTTAACATAGCCAAAGGTCCCCCATACATGGACCATAGATAAGCGAGTTAGACTAAAAGAAACCTGAAGACTGTTACAATCATGACTATGTAAAAAAAACACCTTATGTCGAGTGCTGTAATCTATCATCTGAAATTATTAGTTATACATGAGCCATATGAATATGCTAAAGGCAAGAGCAACATAATGATAAAGCAATATCTAAAGAATAGCTAAAGCCAATATGACTAATGTTCGTTTTGTCCTGTTGCAGGGGCAAGAAGAATAATACGTTGGCTTTCTGTTACCACGACAGGGCTGGCATTCCACCCGGAGAGGGAGCCCATCTGATCCCGTGCTAACATTTTCGCAAGATTAAAAAAAAGAAAAAAAGCAGCAATGACTTCAACGGCAACACAAAATCTACGACCGGGTTCGATGTCGTAGCTTCACAGTTGTACCGCAGTGGCGACGTGCCACTGTGGAATGTTCGCAAGATATGCCCTTTCTTACTCATTTCTCGTAACTTGCGTGGCTATATGGCTGAGGAGGCAATATATCTTGCTATCAATGGTGACGGGAATGTCGAGCAACAGTGAAAGAGTACTGGTCAAATACGGTCACTATAGGCGGGCGCATGGGGGGGGGCAGCCTAGTAATCTAAGAGGGGGAGAGGGGGGACGCAGTGTCAGCCCTATACATTGACACAATAGGAGGGAGGGGTGCTGCGACGAACAGTCAGCCCCCCCCCCCCCCCGCTGTTTTTTTTTCTTTTTCTGAAGAGGAAACCTGCGCATGCCTATGACGTCCACTCGTTCTCAGGTGCTGCGGAACGTTTAAAGGGGCCCTGCAAGACTTTTTCAAGTAACCGTCGAAAGGCTTCACTGAAGGAGTTTATTGCCTCGCGAAACGAGCCCTGCAAGAATTTTGAGAATTCGCCAAGTACGAGCGGATGTCCAGTAATTTGTAGCATACTGTAACTGTTTTCTTTCTTCACCAAGAGTGCGCTGCAAACTGCAGGAGAGGGAATGGCATGGGGGAAAGAAGTTAGGCCACGCGCGCATCATACCCTTAAGCACTTTTTTTTTAGGGGCGAAGCTCCTTAAGGCGTGGGCTGTGCGTCCTCTGTATGTAGCCACCTCTCGTTTAGTTCTTGCAATGTTCACTAGATGACGGTACCGTCCCCTGTATGTAGCCACCTCTCGTTTAGTTCTTGCAATGTTCACTAGATGACGGTACCGTCCCCTGTATGTAGGCACTTCTCGTTTAGTTCTTGCAGTGTTAACTAAATGGCGGTACTTGTAGCTGACGATGCAAAGATGCAATATGTTATAAACTAGACGGTGGTACTTGTAGTTGAGGATGAAAGATGCGAGATGATATAAGATATGAATGATGTCACGTGTCATTGATGGAAGGCAATAGTTCGATTTAGTGCGGCGACGTACGCTAGGGGGGGGGGGGGGGGTTGTAATAAAATCGAGTGGGAAAAATGTACGGAGGATTCGTGGTTTACCAGGTTTACCTCCGGAGCTTCGCCCACCCATCATCATTCACTTCGTGGATATGGCGGCACTTTTTTTTTTCGAACTTGTGGCTTTTTTCAGCGCTTTCTTCGATGCGGGCACGTTGTGACATCGCGCGTCGCCATCGTTCACTATGAAGACCACGATGCTCATATCAGCCAACGGCCGTGAATTTGGGCACATGGCGTGGTCATTTTGGTATGTGGCCTCATTCGTAGGAGGGTAATTTCACGTCAACTGTCCCAATCAGGGTGCTAGCCAAAAATCGATTTCAGTGAAATGGTTTGAGGAAGTGACACACATATATAGATTACTTCTAAAGCATTTTCGCGAAATGTTTTTAATGGCGTTTTTTTTTATTTTGCGCCTGTGACCACCATTTGAAGTTCATGAAAATGGTGGAAAACCAGGTACGGGAAAAAATTCTCTATAAATTGACCGTTTCGCGCATTCTTTCAATACTTGCTTTCTGCGTTTTCGAAGCAACGTGCTTTCATACTAAAACAGTTGCTCGTTATAGCTTGAAAACTTTCACTGTTTAGAGCATAGTCAAAACTAAGTAAATAATGGTGTTTTTTGAGAATTCTTCGACCAAACACGACCATTGATAGAATGCACAAATTGCCTCTGCCACACTATTCATAAAACTTACTCTTTACAAGTATTTCTCTTTGGCTGTGTGTGGTGCAGAAGCTCTAAAATAAAACCCTGAACTTGGCAGAAACGCAACTTTGGCCTTAGTTGAGACGTCTATAGCACCCCAAGGTGTTCAAAAAAAGAAAACAGACCAGGAGAAAAGCCGGTTCAATAGAGAATCATAGTGACCTTTTTTAACAGAAAAAACAACAACATTGAAGTCATTTTTTAGTGGAAAAAAATACCTTTGAACTTTAGTCCCACCCTTGTATTTTGCTATCAATACTCCAATGTAGCCAAAAAAGGAGGCAATCGCCACCTCCGTTGAATATTTAGATGACTGAAGGGTGGGGTATGTTGGTACAACATGACTATGAGTGAAAATTAGCGCAACCGACCGGAGGGTATACAAGAAACGACCCAGAGTGCTGGTTGGTTCAGCAATCTGTGTCTTCTCATCCATGCCCGCCTGTCGTTTGCGCTGATTGGCCCTCATAATCCACTGAATATGAAATAATACGGAAAGGTGGTCTACTTGTTTTTGCTACGTACTGAAACTTTAGCGCACACAACACGAAGACACACAGATTACTGCGCTGGTCCGTGTGAATATTTCGTCTGTGTCGTGTGTACTAAAGTTTCAGTATGCCGTTTAATATGTCTATAGTTTCACGAAGGTATCTACCGACAGCCAGTACACGCTTTCAGTGCTAACTATATGCATTTTCTCGTTTTATTATAAGCAATGAACACGTGTTCATAGCAGACGACGGCGGCCACGTTTATTGTCTGTCGTGAAACGTGAGATCAGAGTGCATGTGACCAAAGAAAGCAACAGTGATGGTTGAATTCGACGAAGGAACCCCGATGACGGCCAGCAACGCAGGAAACACGCGTTGATAGTGAGATTTCAATATAAGTTACTATAAAAAAATCAGCATGGCGACAGGGCTGTGAGTCTCCCGGATGTCAGCCCGCCCAGCGCTGTGGAGCAGAAGACCATGGTCCTATCTTTTCTTTCCCTGAGATGAAAAAGAAAAAAAAATAGCAAGATCAGAAAATGGAACCCAGTGTCGTAATTAATGCTTTTTTTTTTGTTCTTCGTGGGTAGTGACATTTATTTACGTTAACCTTGCATGCGCTCGCTTGTACACCATTTTCCGCAACTGACTTGCGAAATCAAAACCAGACGGCGCCATTAGATGTCTTCATCTTCGCCGCGTCGTCTGCTAGCCGTCGCCTTGGAATGAGCAGACGGCAGCGTCGGCAATAATGCAACATGACGGCACTTATCGCAGTGGGTTCCTGCCACCTCGAATTTATCACGCCGTCCTCGTAGGATTTGTGCTTTGTAAGTTTGAAACCTACGCTTCTATTAAGCTTTATATATTACCGTCCTAGACGTCTGAGAGCCCATGTATATTTTGCACTGTTTCCAAGATCGACTCCCAAACTCACGGGAAGATGGCTTAGCAGGCGTGGCTGAAGAAACAGCTGGTCTCTATGAATGAAGACAAAATAAACATGATGCTTTGGCCACAGCACGAGATTACACAAAACGATAGCCGATTTCATTATTCATTTATTGCTGGCAGGACAGTGGGCAAGTAGCAAGCGCTAGTTTGGAACGAAGCAGACGGTCACGTCTGCATGGATACTGCAATAATGATTCGTAACCACAGTTACGGGTGGTTGCTGGAATAATTAAAGACATGCGACGTAAATTCCAAGTAAAATGAACATCCCACGTACCGGTGTAACATCGTAGGTGCCAGATAAACGGAAATGTTTAAATCTTGTCAACATTTTAGGGAGTTACATAAAAATGCTAAATGGAAATTGGTTGGGTATGTAGCGCGTAGACAGGATAACCGCTGGTCATTAAAGGTAACTAACTGGATTGCCAGAGAAGACAAGCGGGTTTGGAGCAGACAGAAGGTTAGGTGGGCAGATGGGATTAAGAAGTTTGCTGGTATAAATTGGCAGTAGCAAGGACAGGACCGAGTTGACTGGCGCAACATAGGAGAGGCATTTGTCCTGCAGTGGACGTGGTCAGGCTGATGATGGTGATAAAACTGCTTTGATGCGACTTGCTTACTGCATACTGCAATCAGCTTGTGTAGTAAGGCCAGGGCCGCTTCGATAGCCCAAAACAAGTAACGATCAAACATGGCCATGTCCGTGTGCTACTGTGGAATATAGTCATGTTTACCAGAGACGTAGCACTCCGCCTCGCATTTCTTAAAGTAGTTTCTTTATGGAAGGAGTCGGGCCGAACAATCGATCCTATCGCTAACGGCAGTGCGGTGGCGAACGAGCCACGGTCAAGCCAACGACGAAGGTAAAATAGCTTCCTGAAGATAAAAATGACACGCGCGAACATACGCACGAACCACTGACCGCCGCATTCAAGAAAGTCCCTTCACTCGACGCCATGGTGCAAATATACTTAATGTGCTCGAACGCCACCGAGCGAGCACTTGGTGGAGAGGGACAGATTACGTTCTCGTTTGCGGCATGCCGATAGATGGCGCGTCTGACTGAGGACCGTGGTGGGCTGCAGGCGAATTCCGCAAAGCACATCCGGCACGTGGGCGACAGTTTCCTAATCTGAGAAAACCGGGTTATCGCGCGTTATCAACCACGCGACACGCGTAGAGCGGTGCCACGAAGGAGGGGGTGATAAGGGAAAAGGTTCACTTGGCGGCGAGGGTGTTGTGGGGACGATAAATGAGCGCCGCTACTTTCCTACGTCACGGGGCTTTCCTACAGAGAAAATGGAGGGGGGACAAAGTTTGTAGCGCCATCTTTCGGGTCCCTGCGAAGCAGCTCGAACATTATCTGGCAGCGGATAGTCCCGGAGTTCGCTCGCCTATAGTACTCCTGCGCCGTGCTCGACGCCACACCTTGTCTTGAGAATGTCGATGGCAGACCCGTCTTTCGGCAAAAATAATCACTGCGTGGATATGAGCCACGGAGGAAGGAAAGGTAGGAGAGGCCCTGACGTCACTCGCTGTGAAGCCGCGATGAAGCCGGAAGTCGACCCTATTGACTGGGTGAATTCTCCTCTCTTGTTTACATCCGAATGTAAAGCAGAAGGCATGATTCTCACTTCAGCAGGGAAAGCACGTGAGCTGCGCAGCGCGCGTGTCGTCACGATCCAAAACTAATGGAACGGGGCTCAACACTCTGGGCCAGCGCGACACCTTCAGCGAAATCATTTCGTCCGAGTATTAACAGTGAGTAACGGCTCACCGACAACGAAGCAAGTACAAAAGAACGCGCGCTAGATGCGCTGACAATGGTGAGTGTTTTCACGTCATTATTTCAGCAACTGTACAGGCAACACGATCGGCCATGCGCCTTCTACGGTTGCATTCGGCCACGCGGCCGACGCAGCGTCCGGCCACTCGGCCACGTCAAACTCACCGGCGTCAGCATTCTGCGGCCGTGTTGACTTTCAGCACGGTGCTAGTGACAGTTGAACGCGGTTGCTGTTCCGTTGAGATTACATGCAATGCTGGGGGTGAGTATACGAAGCGGAATAGAAAAGGTGTTTTAATACGTGCATGCAAATTGTTACTGTACACACACAACACGAAACTATGTATGTGCACATGGTCCTCATTGCGTCTTGCTGGGCTCAACATCGTTGTCCGTTGTCACAAGCAGGAGCACTGCCCAACCGTCACTGGCCTGCAAGGCGTTCGTCGTCGTTCTGCTTCGTCATGCGATTTCGCTGAACACTAATTACTTCATCCGCCGCATGACACATGGATATGCACTCGTCCTACGCACTGTTGAAACCCCGTGATGGACAAAAGGATTTGTAAACGTTGCTAAGAGTACAGTAACTGCCAGGATAACACTGCGTAACCAATAACGCGGCGCAGAGCACGGATATTGTCCGCCACGTCTCAGCGCGAGACCTGGGGGGGGGGGGGGGGGGCACACATGCCACCGCCAGCCACGGCCGCTCACTGCTAGACCAGCTCCACTGCGCAACACGTAACCATAGCAACGCCGCCATTGTGCCCGGTGACTATGGCCGCCATGATGTCATTTCTTGCACACTTTTCACGTAGCGCGCCGGCTGGGCATGCCCTCTCCTACCTTTCCTTCCTCCGTGATATGAGCGATAGCTGGCGTCGTTTCGTGAGAACCGCTGCGTCATTTTATTCGAGCCATAGCACTCCGCTTCGCTGGGTCAAGCGAGGGCTGAAATTCGAGTCGAGGCTTGTTTCAGAATACGGAGACAGAGGGAGGTTACCCTCGCAACACTAATCTTGAGCAAGAGCAGTATTCTCGATGCCAGGTAACACTGTAGCCAAGTCGCGAGTGTCGGCGCGCAGCCCGCGACGCCATTTTGGTGACGCGGCAGCGATAGTGACTGATCGCAGGCAACCAGTTGGTCGCTGCTCTTCCTTTCGTCCAGTTCGGTGATTCCAGGGGCCACGGAAAGAACAACGACTGCTCCTTAGAAGCTGCGCTAATTTTGGGTCAACGCTGATGCTCCTTCAGCCACATTGGAACGAGTAGGTTCCCCATCGCAGTCAACGTCCGTACGGCTAACAGTGGTTCAAGCTGCGCAACTGGAAACGACGGATAAGGAGAGCACGGGCAAGGACGTCTGTACTGACGCTATAGCTCTCCAGAACAGTTGCAGGCTGCGTCGGAAGCAACATGGTAGTCAACGCGACATTTCAGCTTCGCCGAGCAATGCGCAAGAGCTGGCGTCGAAACGAGGTGAATATTGACCATTCGGTAAGCGAGTGAATGCACTTACCAAGCATGTGAAACTTACAGGGCTACTAAACAACTTCGAGTTGAAGATAGTTATAGCGCGAGAACAAAACGACCACACAGAGACAAGAAGGACACGAAGGACATTCGTGTGTCCTAAAGGCGCTTGTGTCGTTCTTGTCTCTGTGTGGTCGTTTTGTTCTCGCGCTATAACTGTCGTCATGCCATACCAACTAGCCCAAACTGCCACACTTCTAAGTTACATTTCGAGTTGAAATATGAGAGTTTTTCCCACGATCTTCACTATCCTTCCCACCGACGGAATCTAATTCTCAGGCCCCGCCGTGGTGGTCTAGTGGCTAAGGTACTCGGCTGCTGACCCGCAGGTCGCGGGTTCGAATCCCGGCTGCGGCGGCTGCATTTCTGATGGAGGCGGAAATGTTGTAGGCCCGTGTGCTCAGATTTGGTTGCACGTTAAAGAACCCCAGGTGGTCAAAATTTTCGGAGCCCTCCACTACGGCGTCTCTCATAATCATATGGTGGTTTTGAGACGTTACACCCCACATATCAATCAATCTCATTCTCGGTTGTTATTTCTTCATAAAGCACGTGTACAGTGTCAGTCGGGCCCGAAGCCAGGAATGTTTTTCTTGAGTTGGGGAAGGAGGGACCTAAAAACTTGTATTTTCATTACTTAGGCTAGGTAACCCGCCCCCCTCCCTTTTGAATTTCACAGGGAAGGGGGATGTCGGCCCTCTAGGGCACTGTCCCCCACCCCGCAACGGCCGTGATGTCAGCGCTTGAGCCTACCAAGATTTCACGCTTTACGGCTACGCACTGTTGGGTATACCCTCGCGCCGTCGAGAACGTGCAAAACTAAGTGAAATGAGTTGGCCGAGCTCAACAGGCGTGCGAGATAAGGCAGCACGGATTTTTGCGGCAGCATAACAGAGCGGGGTAGGAAAGTACAGTTGACTGAGAAGGAATTATCCTGATGGCTTTTGCCTTCGAGTCGCCTTAGGCAAAGGACCTTTCATGGCATGATTTGCTCATTCGATCAAATAACGACGAGCATGCAGCAAACAATCGCAGATGAGCGTGAGTGACAATACTCACTGCCTGTTGGTTGGCCTGTTCATGGGCATGATCTTGACCTTCCACAATTGCATCCTGGGTGAAAACACGCTGAAGAAGCGGTTGCTCTTGTAAGTGATGAAGGCCTTCTTGATATCTCCGACGTACACCGGCGTCTTAGCCACAAAGCTGTAGGTAGCCTTCGGGTACAGCGTGGCGGTGCTGAAAAATACAACACATGATTCGGCTATGGGTTTAATTGTTTGATGGGGTATTCGCGTGGAGCAAGTATTAGCGCGAACAGGCACCCACAAGACACACAAGTGCTTGGGTGTATGCTTTTTCTTGTGGGTGTCTGCCTTTGGTGGTGTTTGCCAGCTATGATGTACCAACTCTTTAAAGAAGTATTGACAGTGTTATCACGAGGTGGAAAGCGGCCTCTCATGCACAGAGAGAACACCCCGTGATTACCATACGTCGCCGCCATAATCAGTTGACGTGGCCTCCTTGAGCTTACCGGTGCAGTTTCTTACGATTACGTAGAAAGAATATGTGGTGCTACCATGTTCTTTCATGCACTGTGTAGGTTACAGTACTCTATGGTATGCAATGGCATGCTGGAATGTGTCGGATTCGGACAGGCCTCGTTCTCAGTCAAGACACCTTGTGAAGATAGCTAGAAACGTTCCGTCTGTCACAATGTTTTAGTTTGTTTTAAGGCAACTTGAAGCAAGCCTTCATTTTTTGCTCGCGCTAAAAGTTTTACTTTGTTTTCATAACTTCGTCGTGGGTGTACACGCAATCGTACGAAACGTAAAATGCACCCACCGGCCGCTAACGTTGCATTGCGTATACTTGCTGTGGCATGTAATAGCATAGAATGTGTCACGCTGACCAACTATACTCCATTCCGGAAGTTTCCTTCAACGCGCTGCGCAGGTGACAGTGCCTCTCAGCCAATAGAAAGGGTAATTAGCCCTTCAACATGTACTCTGACTCGCGCCGCGTCGTCTGCTAAGTATTCGTGCGCTCATACGTTGAGCAAGCAGACGGCAGCGCTGAAAAAGATAAAAAGAAAAACGTGGCCTGCACGAATCGACACTGGTGGCCTCCTCCTCGAGTTTATCACGTCGTCGCCGTGTGCTGTGTGACCCGTAAGTTGCGAATCGACGCTCGTATTTGCTTTATATTTGTGTCTTGTAGCTTCGGCAGCAACGTATTCGGGACTACGTTGAGCCATTTCCATGAACCGCTACCAAACTGTCGCCGCGCTAGGCTAAGCAGGCCCGCGGTTAAAGAAACAGCTTGAGTCACCAATCCGATAAGGACATACCCTATCTGATGCTTTGTCCTGGCCGTCGTGAGATGATGCAAAGTGATAGCTCATGACACCATTCGTTTGTTGCTGTGAGCGCTTTGGGCGAGCGTCATGGGCAAGTTAGGATCGAAGCGCGTGGTCGCGTCTGCATGGTCGCTGTGGTGTTTATTTTTAACCACAATTATGAATGGAATTTTGCAAAAAAAAAAAAAACGGATGAGAAGGAAGAGATCACCTGTTCTCTCTACCTTCTTTTTTTGTTTTATTTTTGTGCAAAATGCCACACACAGTGAAATACCTATTCGCCGAACGCTTGGTTCTTGTAACCAGTTACCTGTGATCACTGATACAATAATTGCAACGTAAATGCAATCACGGATAAACGTGTTACGTATTGGTAGGCAACCGCAGATGCTGAACGAGGGTAAATATGTCTGTCTTGCGAACTGTTAGGCAATTATATATGGAACTATATATGTTTTCCTGGGAAAGCATGTGGCTTGCTTACTCCCCGTATATAGCTTTGGCAGCACTGAAATGCAGTGGTGAGATGGAGTATAAATGGCGTGGGTTTGATTCCTGGCAACGACAGCCGCGTTTCGAGGAAATCAAAATACAGAGATTCAGCTGCACGTTGAAGAGCCTCAGATGGTCGAAATTAATCCGGAGCTTCATAATCATGTCATAGTTTTCGCGCGAGGGACATCTACAATTACTATGAATAAACTTACGTGTCAGACGTAGCAGGGTGAGCACTGATATTGTTGTTTAATTAATTATTACATTTACTAATAATGTAGCAGCTCGCTCTGTGTCAGTCTTGACAGAGAGAACCTTCTCCCCCCCCCTCCCTGTTGGTCCGCCATTATTTGGGGGGGGGGGGGGGAATGCTCATTATACTGTAGCGCCACCTCCGCTTTACTACTAATCGAGTCCAAAAGAACACAAGCCCTGCCATGGATGCAAAAATGAAATTGAAGTTATGCAGTACCCCACACATGCCTAGCCAACTCATGACGGTGCCGCATCGCAACACAAAATCATAAGGAAAACAATTCCGAACGTATTTACAGTGATGGTGAACAAGATTCGCGGGATCATTATTATTACGCACCCACTGTTAACTTTCATTTCGCACTCGTCTCTGGTTCCTTCAAGCTTGAGAATCAGGTCACCACTTGCTTCGCTCGCGTCTGGGTTGTTGAACATCTCCAGGTTCACCAGGTAGTGGAATGCTGCGAAAAAAAGATCAGAAATCGGTGGGTGTGGTTCCGAACACTGTTTAAGTTCGCCAGTGTGTCTCTCCGGTATTCCAAGTACACACGTCGTTGCGAGTTTGAATCCCAGCTGCGTGCCGCGCTTTATGGAATTTAGGATGGCTTAGGATGGCACTCCTAAGCCATCCTAAATCCTCAACTTCTAAACCATTCGTCCTCCATGAAAAAAAAAAATGGCAGCATATCCACAGAGTGAATGATGGAGAGTGGGGCGAAGAATTCGTCCGTCCATTCGTTCTTGCTTCCGTCCGTCCATGTGTCCGTCAGTGTGACCGTGCGTGCGTCTGTTCGTGCGTCCGTCCATGCAGCCGCCCCTGTGTCCGTTCATGTGTCCATCCATGCATCTGTCTATGTGTCCGTTCGTTCATCTATTCAACACTCCAAGTACCACCATCTCACATCTTTTTCATCATATATTCCCCATATAGAAGCACCGCCAACCAGCGGACATTCCAAGGACTAAACGAGAGGTGGCACACGCACACTTTCTTACAGCTTGCGCTTCGGGTCCACTTCCCACCTTTAACCACCTCGAGTTTATGGTATATACTAGTTCACTGTATTCATGGCACTGCGGCCGAACGCTCGCTAAACCTTTCGAAAACAAAGGAGGTTACGCCCAGCGAGTATGACGTAGCAAACTTTTTCAGTCAGATTGTGCTCAATGTACATGCCAATGGCTGCTAATGGGAAATGAGAGGCGGAGAATTCGGCTTTTACTTTCTTACGGCTTGCGCTTCGTATCTACTTCCCATTTTTAACCACCTCGAGTTCATTCATGGTATATACAAGTTCATTGTATTCATGACACTGCGGCTCAACGCTCGCTAAACCTTTCTAAAGCTAAGGAGGTTACACCCAGCGAGTATAACGTAGCAACCCTTTCTTGTCAGATAGTGCTCAATGTACATGCCAATGGCTGCTAATGGTGACCGCAGCCTGCGCGTTAACTAAAAGCCGAATGCTCCTGTCTCTCGTTCCCCATTAGCAGCCATTGACATGTACATTGAGCACTATTTTTTATTGTTCAACAACGCACAGAAGAAGTCTCTCACCGGCACCACCTTGGTGGTCAAAATGTTATACTTGTTACATACTATGGGAGACGAACGGGTGCCGCTATAAGAAACTTCGCCCCTAAAAAAAAACATTCTTCCTTAATTTCGATGTATCGTCAGTTTCCTTGGCACGTGTACAAAGCACTCTTAAGGTAGCGGTGGTGGTGCTGTTGCACCAGGTGGGATTGGTCTGGAAGACCTGGCCGGTAACTGCTCCACCTGTGCGACCCTTTTCATTACCATACACCACTTGAATCTGTGTCTCGCAGAAGGACGTAAAAGATTTGCAGCCACTTTTTTTTTTTTTTGCGATTCAACCGCACACCTTCGGAAAACAGCCTTCACAGCAGCCGTGAGAAGACCCTCTTCTTTTTTAAATTGTGAATAATTAGTGTCTAACTTTCGGAGCGAAATAACTTACAGGATCACTCTCGAAACTCGTGAACAGGTCAGAGAGGTCATTGTCCTGGTGTTTAGTTTCTGGGGTTTTAGGGCCCCATACCACCGTGCGATTATGAGGCCGTAGCGAGAATCTTGAACCAACCGGGGTTCTTTAAAGTGCGCCTGAATTCGAGTACACCGTTGTTCCTGCATTTCACCCCCCCCCCCCTTCTCATCGAGATGCGGCCGTCATGATAGGTCGTCGAACCTGGCACATAGAAGCGAAACCGCGCTATAGCGTCGCTCTGCCGAGAACTTAGTTATGGCATCATTATAAACAGCCAAGCCTTCTTTCCTACTATACCTGCCAGGTTGGCCACGTGGTTATGATGTTCGACTTCGGAACGATAGATCACGGGATAGAATCCCAGCCACGGCGACAGTGATGTGATAAGCAGCGAAAATGCTTGACGTCCGTGTACTTCGGTTGAAGTGGACATAAAAAAATTGGCCCCGTATCTGCATGTTTATCTGCGAATGTCGAAAGAAGGTAGTCTTGCGTATGGAGAGAGTGAACAAAACATTTATTTGATGTTCTGCGCAAGACATTGGTGAATGGTATTCTGGAGGCGCTGCGTTAGAGTGCCTCGAGCATGCAGTGGAGGTGAACGAGCGCATCAAGTCGTTAAACGAGACACGAGTGCTATCTGGCAGTTTTTTTGGAAAACGAAGCACGTGGCTCTGAGATGGGCGTGCGCGCCCGTCTCAGAGGTGATAACGTGTTGAACGAAAGGCGACAAGTAGGTGCCACCACCGTGTCGTCTTAGCAAAGCGTTGGAAACACTCGCCTTTTCGTGCAAGCGTTGCATGGTCAGCGAAGCGTGATAAACGCTACGGTCGTTAGAATTACTTATGTATACCTTTTCTAGTAAAAGATGCACATAAAGAATATATAAGTGTTGTTATGATGCCTCAGATATGCGCAATAATTGCTTTTTAATTGAAAATCGCACAATTATGAACGCTGAATCTTGAGCAACATTGGCGGGTGCTGCGGATGGGGTCGGCCGTTTGGGGTATTGGCTGGTGCCGCACAAAGTACCCGGTACCGTTAAGAATGGACAAACAGATAAATGTACAGACAGACAGACAGACAGACAGACCAAAATTTTTGCGTCGAAGGTCCCCAAGAAAGACTATCGTCTTAAAAAAAAAACACCTGGTCTACATATCCGAGGCCCTGCACTACAGTGTCTCTCATGACCATATCGTAAAAAATTATGCTCCTTTCCTAATAACTCTGACGCCATATACTACTCGATGCGGCGTCGTCTAATATCACCGGGAATCATGCCTTCTGGCTTCCTTGTGAGTTTAGTTTCTAGAATCTGGCTGCTCCAGGTTGTCTTATCGATGCTCAAAGCGAAGCATGAGCTTCCATCTTCCTTTTATATGCAGTAGAGGATATCTGATCTGATATCCTGTAGTCACGGGATGAATGTAATTTCTACCCGGTGGCTGCCGCCACGAAGTGGCCCCAGTCACGAGACGACTGCCCGGTCTATCGGGTGGTACGTTCCGCAAACGCTGAAGCAAAACACGCGCGTCCTTCGTTCTCCACCTACGCTCGCCTGTGTGTACGTCGCTCGGTTAACTTGAATTCTTCCTAGAGACAATTGCGGAGTGCAAGTACGCTTCAATAAACCTTGCTTGCTGAACGAACCCAGCATCGTTTTTGGCTACGAGACAATATTGCTACGGAGAGGAAGAAAAGGAAGAGGTGCGACTGACAGGCGCGCGACTGGGCCAATCAGCCATTGTGTCTCTTGCCTGTAGTTTTTACTCTGCAAATACATCTCGCTCAGAAGCAACCAACCTCGTAACATATTGGTGAGAGGTGCTGGGTAACCATCAGGCAACGGAGCTCCGCAGCGGACGTCGCATCGCCCTTCCAGCCATGGCCAATGCTCAGCCCTCCGCGTCAACGTCAGCGTCTCCGACGAACATGGCGTCGCAACCGTACGTTTTCACGCCTCTCAAGGATCCCGGTACATTCTGCGGAACCGATGGCGTCGACGTTGACGATTGGCTGGCCATGTTTGAACGAGTGAGTGTGCCGAACAGATGGGATCCCACACTTCAGTTGGCTAATGTGCTGTTCTATTTGAGAGGCACGGCCAAGGTGTGGTATGAGAACAATGAAGAAGAACTCACAAGCTGGGACCAATGCAAAGCAAAGATGCGGGAGGTGTTTGGCAAAACCGCCAGTCGGAAGATCGCCGCCAAAAAGGAATTGGCCTGCCGTGCCCAATCCCCTACGGAGTCATACCTCGCTTACATTCAAGACGTGCTGGCCCTCTGCCGAAAGGCCGAAAGCGACATGACAGAAGGTGACAAGGTGGGACATGTTCTGAAAGGGATTGCCGACGACGCGTTCAATCTCCTGATGTGCAAGGGCTGTTCCACCGTAGACGCGATCATCAAAGAGTGTCGTCAGTTCGAGCAAGTGAAAAGTCGCCGCATTCTACAAACATTCGCTCGACTCCCAAACACCGCTGCAACATCTACTTGCGAGGACCAGTCAACACCACAACGTGCATCGCCGCCGGGAGACCTTACACGCATTGTTCGTCGTGAACTGGAAGCTATGGCGCCCTCGGCGTTCTATTCGCGCAGTACCGATGCCACTCCTGTTACTGTTCCTCTTGTTCAAGCCATCGTGCGCCGGGAGCTTGAAAACATCGGAGTGCATTCCGTGTGCCATGTCACCGCGCCTAGAGTCAGCGAACGCCCTTTCGTGATGCCCTTCTCCGACCGACGGTCTTCTCCACGTACTCGCAACCCGGCTGAGTGGCGAACTGCAGATGACCGCCCTATATGTTTCAACTGCCACCGCGTTGGACATATTGCCCGTTACTGCCGCAACACATGGTCCTCGGCACATCGCGCAACGACCAATATGACCCGTTTCGACGATACCGCCCGCACCTTTCCACCTGCCGAAGAGCCCAATGCCATTGACCATTCTCGGAACACTTGGTACAGCCGCTCGCCTTCACCACGTGGGCACCAGTCTCGATCGCCGCAAACACGTCGCCCATCGTCCCGTTCGCCGCAGCCACGGCGCTTCTCGTCCCCCGTGGCTTCCGGCCGCGTTGTCTCGGAAAACTGAGAAATGCAGCCCCCGGAGGTGGTGCTGCATTGACGACTTCCGCAGCAAATCCTCTTTCCGTTCCCACCAGACGAAGTGTAATAGACGTTAAAGTAGACGGCGAACCTGTACAAGCACTTGTCGACACCGGCGCAAGCATTTCGGTCATGAGTTCAAGCCTACGCACACGTTTAAAGAAAGTTCTGACACCAGCGGCTGCACAAATGCTCCGTGTGGCCGATGGCGGCACGCCGATGGTTCTCGGTCTGTGCACTGCCCGCTTACGTATAAAGGACCACACTACTTCTGTCATTTTAGCCGTGATTGACCACTGCCCTTATGACATTATCCTAGGCCTGGACTTCTTGTCGAATCATTCTGCTCTGATCGATTGTGCTACAGGCGTTCTTCAGCTAGAGTTGCCTCAGATAGTCGCTGACCCCCCCACTGCCCCGCCGCGCCTGTGCTCTCTTCAGGATGTGCGGCTGTCAGCTCAGGCAGCCACCTTCGTCGTTTTGACCGCACAGCCCCAAGTTCCCGATGGTCAATATGTCCTCCTTCCTCTCGCCGACGTCCTCTTGAGCCGCAACATTGCCATTCCCCATACGCTTGTGACTGTTACTGACAATTGTACCTCGCTTCCACTTCTCAATTTCAGCTTGTGCCCTCAAGTGCTTCCTCGTGGCATGTTCTTGGCCAGCGTATCTAATGCTGACGAATTCGAAATAGCAGCGCTCACCACCGACATTGATTTACTTCAGTCTCCAGTAGCGAACAGCACCTGTTCTCGGCCAGATCGTTTCTCGAAGATGATTGCACCCGACCTCAACCCTGCGCAAGCCAATGACATCCATCGCCTTCTCGCGTCATATACCGACATTTTTTCTTTCGACGACAGACCTCTAGGGCAAACATCCACTGTTCAGCACCGTATAAATACTGGTGACGCCAGTCCTATTCGCCGACGCCCCTATCGTGTCTCCCCCACTGAGCGTAGAGTTATCCAAGCAGAAGTGGACAAAATGCTCAACAAAGGTGTCATAGAACCATCAAGTAGTCCTTGGGCCTCCCCTGTCGTCCTTGTGAAGAAAAAAGATGGTACATGGCGCTTCTGCGTTGACTATCGCCACCTAAACAAGATCACACGAAAAGACGTGTACCCGCTACCACGCATCGATGACGCGTTGGACTGCCTACACGGGGCTACATACTTCTCGTCTATAGATCTCCGGTCCGGCTACTGGCAGATTTCTGTCGATGAAATGGACCGCGAGAAGACGGCCTTCATTACACCAGATGGTTTATACCAGTTTAAGGTCATGCCTTTTGGACTATGTAACGCCCCTGCCACATTCGAACGAATGATGGACTCTCTCCTGCGTGGTTACAAGTGGTCTACTTGTCTTTGTTACCTAGACGATGTGATAGTCTTTTCATCTACTTTCGATAGCCACCTGACCCGTCTCGCTGCAATTCTCGCAGTCTTCAGAACAGCTGGGCTACAACTCAATTCCAAGAAGTGTCAATTTGGTCACCGTCAGATTGCCATTCTGGGCCATATTGTAAACGCCGATGGTGTCCAACCAGATCCCGAAAAGATCCGCGTCGTCCGTAGCTTTCCAGTGCCCCGTTCTACATCCGACGTCCGTAGCTTCGTCGGCTTATGTTCCTACTTTCGCCGTTTTGTGAAAAACTTCGCTGACGTTGCCCGGCCACTGACAGATTTGCTGAAGAAGGATACCACATTCTCATGGGGCCCTGAGCAGGCTCAAGCGTTCGCCGCTCTCATCGGCTACCTAACTACGCCCCCCATACTTGCCCACTTTAATCCTTCTGCTGCCACAGAGGTTCGCACCGACGCCAGTGGCCACGGTATCGGCGCAGTTCTCGCTCAGCGGCACCACGGTAGACAGTGCGTGATAGCTTACGCCAGTCGCCTGCTTTCTCCCCAGGAGATGAATTATTCCATCACCGAGAGAGAGTGTCTAGCTTTAGTTTGGGCCGTCGCCAAGTTTCGGCCATATTTATATGGTCGCATTTTCACTGTCGTTACGGACCACCACGCCCTCTGTTGGCTGACTTCTCTGAAGGACCCGACTGGACGTCTGGCTCGCTGGGCTCTGAGGCTTCAGGAATTTTCGTTTAGCGTCAGCTACAAGTCTGGCCGTTTGCACAAGGACGCAGACTGTCTTTCTCGATATCCGGTAGATCCTCCTGATCCCGTTGCGCCTGACCTGGAGAGCAGAGTAATGGCGTTTACAGACGTCAGCGATATGCGCATCGAACAACGACGGGATGAGTCATTGCGCACTATCATCGACGCCATCCAGTCTGACAGCCATGACGCTGAATCCCGTATGTTCGTGCTGCATGACGGCATCCTCTACCGCCGCAACGTCACCACTGAAGGCCCTGAGCTTCTGCTTGTCATCCCTCGTCATCTACGGCCTGCCATACTTCAACAACTTCACGACGCACCAACAGCGGGACACCTCGGCGTTTCCCGCACATACGACCGCGTGCGACGTCGATTTTTCTGGCCTGGATTGTACCGCAGCGTACGTCGATATGTCGCCACTTGCGACCTCTGCCAGCGCCGGAAAAGACCTTCTTTGCTGCCAGCTGGATATCTTCACCCAATTGAAGTCCCCTCTGAACCATTTCATCGCGTGGGACTCGACCTTCTTGGCCCTTTTCCGACGACGACACTAGGAAATAAATGGATTGCCGTCGCCACAGATTATGCGACCCGTTACGCGATAACAAAGGCCATGCCAACCAGTTGCGCCACTGACGTCGCGGATTTTCTTCTTCATGACGTCATCTTACACCATGGTGCACCCCGACAGCTGCTTACGGACCGCGGCCGCTCTTTCCTGTCCAAAGTTGTCGATGACCTCCTTCGATCGTGTGCTACAGCCCATAAGCTATCTACCGCCTACCACCCACAAACTAATGGCCTAACTGAACGTCTCAACCGCACGCTCACAGAGATGCTTTCGATGTACGTCTCCGATGATCATCGAGACTGGGATACAACGTTGGCCTATGTGACCTTCGCATATAACTCCTCTCGACATGACACTGCGGGATTCTCGCCTTTTTATCTTTTATATGGTCGCGACCCCATATTGCCATTTGAAACCACCTTGCCTCTCGTGCCATCTCCTTCCGAGTACGCGCGCGAAGCCATTGATCGGGCTCACATGGCTCGTCAAGTTGCCCAGTCTCGCCTCACCAGGTCACAGGATATGCAAAAAGCCCGCTACGACCACCGGCATCGAAATATAACGTTTGCCCCAGGTGACCACGTGCTCCTCTGGTCACCGTGTCGCCGTGTAGGTCTCTCCGAAAAACTTTTGTCCCGATACGCCGGACCCTACCTAGTCTTACGTCAAGTTAGCGACGTAACCTACGAGATAGCGCCATTGCACTCCAATACGTCACCAAGTTCGTCACTAGTTGACATTGTCCATGTTTCGCGCTTGAAACCCTACTTCTGTCGCACTTCTCCGGACTCTCGCCGAGACGGCGCTCCAACGCCCGGGGGTCCTGCTACGGAGAGGAAGAAAAGGAAGAGGTGCGACTGACAGGCGCGCGACTGGGCCAATCAGCCATTGTGTCTCTTGCCTGTAGTTTTTACTCTGCAAATACATCTCGCTCAGAAGCAACCAACCTCGTAACAATATTCTTATGGTTGCGCAGTCACTGTCAATATGAGTTGCAAAACGCTGGCGGTGATTAAACTGACCCCAAACCAGAACGATTCCACAGACTAACGTTAAATTGCTTCAGAAAATACTGCTGATTTAGTGTATAATACGCCAATCGTTTTATATGTATAGGTGCCATTTCGCAGCGCTGGTGCCATTTTGAGTTTTTCCTCTGCTTGGAAATGCAGCGAAAATAACATGCATGCTTCAAAAATACACCCGTCTTGTTTACATGCTTCGCAATACAACATGTAATATCGGAGTAATATTTTGTGGTACAAGCGCACATTGCCAAACTACCCCGTGGTTTAAAGCCAGCCATTACGAAAGGCACGCTTGTTATTGCGCGTATTTTCTTAAGAATACGTAGAGGGTGCATAGCAATTTCGAAAACCCCCGCGCATAAGTATACTCATGCTTCAAAGCATGGTACCCATTGCACAGAATGCAGCCATACACGAAAGCTTCGCTGACACAAGCCGCTTTCAAATTTGTCCACTATACTGTAGTGATCCACAATTTGAACTTCTCGAGTAACATCGTACACTTAGCGACATCATACTAAGTGGTTCAAGCACTCACTATGGACAGCATATCGATAAAGTGGTTTATCAGAAGCATAGCTTAGTTTCTGAGACATACATAATATTCTTAGTTTTCCTTTGAATGGTCCCTCGAGACTCCGTTGTGTGTTTTCTTCCTACGTCATTTGTACATGAGCAGCGCGCTGCTCGTTTTTAGCTGCTTGCTGTTCTTCGCACGATATGGCAATTTGTTGCTGTTGCATTCATCACTTCGATCTTGGAGCGAAACTGTGCCGTTTTTTGCGTGTGCAACAGCCGAACCTGGCGACGGCATCATTTCAGGAACGAGATACGTCGACAATACTTTTAGATCAATGGTCGAGCACATAGTGTCTTGGCAGAGAATGGAAAGCTAGGGAGACCCAAGGTCTGCACATGTACTCCTACGCGAAGTAGTGTGGTGTGGCGTGTTTCGCCCTGAAAGGGACGGCTGCGCGCAGTCACGGTTTTATATCGACGCAGACGCCACGCTTAGCTTTCGAAGTACGCATAAAAGGCGCTACTTTCTCACGCATGCAAAAGCACTAAGTGCGGGGCGTATAATGTATAACAAATACAAATATCTCAGTGCTGAGGGTAGCATCCTGCTTCAAAGAGCTGCGTATAAAACATGGACTATTTTTGATATCTCACGCAGAAAAAGCGGACACGATTGCGGGACTACAGCCAAACCTCATTGTAACGAATGTGCATCATACTCGAAGATAAGTTCGCTATAAGAAAAATTCTTTTTAAAGGTCTATTCCTAACCATATATATGGCTATTTCAAGATTGTTTTCACTTCGTTATAACCGATATTTCGTTGCATCTTAGTTCGTTATATCGAGGCTTAAGTGTATCTTCATTGGCACTAGTATAGGCGCGATTAGGCTCTGTTGCCTTCGCTTCGTTGCCAAGAAACGGTGTCCCCGTTTCCTTACCGCAGAAAGGAGGCGCAGAAAGTCCTTACCGCAGAAAGGAGGCTCCCTATTGGTCCCGATGAACATGCGCACCGAGCGGCTCTCGTTCTTGAAGCGCTTCCAGCTGTCCGCATGCATTCCCATGCGGGCACACTTGGAGCCGTCGCGGCCGCAGTCCGAGCAGCGACCCTTCTCGAACATCGCGTACGAGGAGCAGGCATAGGATAGCGATGAACACTGCACGTCGGTGATGGATTCGATGACGTAGTCGATCGCCCTCTGGTGGTGACAGATGCCGATGGCGCGGGCCCCTGCGTTGGTGGGCAGTGGTTTTCGTCAACGTATGTAGAGCATTCGAAGTGAAGAGTAAGCTATATTAGAAACAGTTGAAGAAATGCTACAAAATAGCTGAACCAAGAGCTTTTATCCCCAGTGCTCTAACGCATACAGAAAGTATACATTGGTCAAGCACGCATATTGGCTCAACGAGAAAAGCCTTTTTTACATGGAGGCGTCTTATTATATTAGTCTCATCAAAGCAAATATTCTCCAAGCTGGTCATGTTTATTTTGGAAAGTAGAAGTTTATGCAACCATGCTAGTGTTCGTGAAAATACATACCCGTAGTAGTCTGTTGGAAGGATAGTTTCACGAGGATTCGCTGCTAAAAAATTTTCTTGTTCTACTAAATGACTCTCTCTTATTCACTGAGTTTTTTGTCACAAAAGGTGGGTCTATACTTAAGTTTACCGACCTCAGAGCTGCGTGCAATTCCACAGAAGGAAACATATACTGTGCTTATAAACGGGCAGAGGGGAGCAGAAAGGCTATGGCCGAGGCACTCCACCAAAGAGTGTGCCCTTCTTCGCCTGGTAATCGGCAAGACGTGCACTCAAAGCTAAGCCCCTCATTAACAGGTACGCTTATTTTTGGAGCACATAAAAACCATTCGACATAAATTTTGTGACTGCCTGCCAGTTAACAACGTGAAAATACCACACGAAAGACTGGAAAAAAGATGGGGTAAGAGCTTGTCCAGTCTTCCTACTGCCTGCCGTGTGTTATTTTCGCACTGTTAAGCTTAAATATGCACAACCGATTAGCCCAGTCAGCCACTTTGCCTACAGTATAGTGGACATCGACTATGCCTTCACACTGAGCTCACTCAATCAGATAATAAACCTCTGTTGGAGGAAAGAATTTTTTAATATCGCTAAAATGCAACGTCACAGAAGACCCTGCAAGTGCTACTGCGCTTTTGCGATTGGCCGGCCTTTCTGAACGGTTGTAGCCAGAATGTCCTTCCTGTGTGTTTTTGTTTTCTCATGAGTGCACGTGCGTTTTTTTTCTTTCTCCCTCTCTATCTTCTCCCTCTTTCTCGTCCGTTTCTCCACCCCCAGTGCTGGGTAGCAAACCAGATACCAATATCTGGTTAACTTCCGGCATTCCTCTTCTCTCTGGAGCCCATGCCCACTGTGGTAAGAGTGCTTCTCACAACCAAAATCGAAACTGGAAGTGAAACCGACAGCGGAAAATAACCGACGAAGACGAAAGTGTGCACGGGGTCAGACGAACGCGAGCGCGTGAGTTTCGGAACAGCGACGGGCAGAGGAAGAACGCGGCCAGCTAGCAAGAGCGCTAGGCGTTGGGCCTCAGGGGACCGAACCAACGAGCGGGTGTCACCAACCCAACCGGGACGAGCGTGGCATGTTCCTGAGGCGAGTGGCGGTTCCGGGCCGGGCCTGACATGCTGTTCCTGTGGCGGACGAGCGTGCGGGCCATGGGGCAAGCGGCGGATCCTGTCCAGACTCGGGTCCAGCACAACCAGTCACCGAGATCGTGGCCACGGTGCCACGTCGGAGCCGGTCCGGCACAACCGCCAATTGAAGGTGCGACCTCGGTGTTGCGTCGGCCGCAGCGTGGGGCTGCCTGGTCCAGCACGAGCAGCTGATGGTCTGCTCGTGAGCTCCCGTGCACTTGGCAACCTTCCCGTGGCGAGGTTGCGTCGTCGACGCCATCGTCTTCAGCGGGAGCGGGAGTGGCACCCGACGGAATTAGACTTCCGAGTAGTGAGGACGCGTGGGTTACCCGCGGGCGTGTAGACATAAGGACTGTATGACTGAATTACGGAGCCAGTGTGTTGTACAGATAGCCACAGTGTTGTGATTGTTTTGTGTGTGAAGTCAATAGATGTTTCTCTTGTCCTTGTCTTGGGTTTCTGCGTCTGAGGGCCCAAGAACCACCACACCCACCCTTTCGAGAGAAATCGGGTTGCCTTTGAACTAAGAGAGATCAATACACTGCGAACATTATGGCGTATATTAAGTAACCCCCCCCCCCTCATCGCTGCTATAACCACCTCATGTGTCTTCACTGAAGAACTTATAAGATTCTTGTAACATAAAATGCTGGACTACTTCTGCATAACTTCCTTCATAACCACACTTTATTTATTACCGCACCAGTGGTTTTTAAGCTAACAAAGCGAAGCTAAACGAGATCAGGCTCACCGTTCACAAGACCTTCCGTGATGAACTTGAACACTCTCGTACTGAACTCGCATCCGGGCATCTTGATGCCTCCATTGGGATAGAAGTCCACGTGACCAACGGGATCGTACATGCCGAGGCCCTCTCCTTTCACTGGTCCAAGCAAGAAGCAATGCGTAGGAATTTAGATAAGCCGACTCGTGTTTTGCCTCGAGCTCTATACACTAAAATGGGAAGAGACGAAACATGGTCACTGACAGTCTGATGAAATGATCGAACGTTTCGAACGCTACTCAGATGGACCATGTTTTAGGGCTATTCCTAGAGTGACGTCTCTTTAAACTCTGTTTCCTGGATTTCTTGCTGCAACGCACATTTTAGAAGCAAAAGATGCGAGCAAAACTATTCGGCTACGTACGGTACCTGTTCTTCTGAGGATCTCTAATATGTGGTGACATATTTAAGAACAGCCCATGGCAGACGATGAGCCCAGCTGGGCGCGTATCGTGGGCATGCGATGGCCTATGCCCTGTTTACAACTTTGCACTGTCACATGACAGCCCAGACGCACAGAAAGGTTGTTGCTCAAGCACGCTAATGAGAGTTGGACTGCTGTACATTTTTCTACTTTCACGCATTTTTTAATGTTCCACCTGTGCTTATTTCTGTTCTCTATTCTTCCAACCTAAAATCCGAGGCAGCTAACTGAAATTTTGTGTGGTTGATTGTTCAGCCTTCTCATTCTTTCCTTTTTTTTTCTTTTCGTGTCTCACATCGCCCTACTTACGTATGTCGAGGACAAACGAGGCACCGTCGGTGTGAACAACATCCACGAAATCGGCATCTGTCGGATCCAGGCGGACCTTCGGCGGCATCTTCTGGAAGTACGGCTCGGCAGGGTCCAGACCTGAAGTGAAACAGGACGAAAATGTGGTTCCGCATATACGCGAGTCAGAAAGCGAGCTGCCACTGTTGCATATACTCAACTGATCAGAACCCCCCGTACGTCATTAGGAAAACCAGGTTAATAATTGATCCGCAAGTTCGATACTTGTTTGACGAGCAAAACTGGAATGACAGGAAAGGCAAGTGTAGAGCGGCTAAATCAGGTCTACACGTATTTGGTGCAGCAACATACCTTAACTGCAGTTAGGACTGCTAAATCAAATGGCACATACATGAAGAATGAAGGTGGATCCCTTTTTCACAGAAATTTTTTATGGGATGAAAGTGAAACGTGTTTTTATGGAAGTGATCGCAGCTTTGTTGGGCATTATGAAATAAAAGCGCATAAATTCGCTCAGCGTTTGCTGCGAAAAAAAAAAAGGCAGCTGATTGAATGCGGCCCCTTGAAACCTATGCCAGTGAAATTCCATCGCATCTTTATAATAGCGATTCTTTGCGTTTAACGTCCCAAAACCATGATATGGTTATGAAGTATGCCGTAGTGCAGAACCTCGGTAATTTAGACAACCTAAGGTTCCGTAACGTGCGCCTAAATAATTGCAAGGGCCTCTAACATTTTCGCCTTTATCGAAAATGCGGCCGTGGTGGTCAGGATCGCGTGACCTTGGAAAACAGCAGCCGAGCATCGTAACAACTAGACTACTGTGGCGGGTAATCGCATCATTCTTTCACCCATTACTCAAAGTGCACGATGTAGGGTTTGTACAAGGGTATATGTTACTTACTTACCTTCTACAATGGTACCGGACGCTCTGCCATTTTTTTGTGTTTAAACGATTGGGGAGAATTATTGCTCATTGCTACCAAGTCACGCAGCCAAACAGGGCGTCATTCTGATGGTTCGAAGTTAGCGCCTGCCCTGTCTTCTTCGCCTCTTCGAGTGTCCCTGCTGCGTCCGCCATGGTGGAACAGTGGCTATGGCGCTTGGCTGCTGAGCCGAATGTCGCGAGTTCGATCCTGGCAGTGGAGGTCGCATTTCTATGGAGGCGAAATGGCAGGTGCCCTTGTATAGTCTGATATCGGTGTACGTGAAAGAAGACCAGACGGTCAAATTTCCGATGCCTTCCACTATGGCGTCTTTCACAATCATATCGCGGTTTTGGCACGTAACCCCTAGATAATGTCATTCTGTTCCTGTTGTGCTGTCCAGATAAAATTTCTACTGTGAATCTGCCAGCTTATCCACTCCATGTCAACAGCTGAGTGTACTGGTGTAATGGCACCTTGATGGTTCTAGTATCGGCCACTCATCTTAGGGATGACAGATAGTGACATAATTGCCCTTGATCATTTCATGCGTGGCCACCAACGTAAGTTAGTGGTACTTCCGCAGAATTCTAGAGCCAGTGAATTGCAGTGCGAAAGGCTGAGGTAGGATACTCATGATTGCCTAAAAAAACATGATATTAATGCTTGATTAAAAATATATAAATAAAAGGAAAGATACGGAGGTTAATTCAAGCTACGGTTTTGTAGCTCTTGGTCTGGGGTCCCTTATCCCTTTTTTTCTACGAGAAAAAATAGACTATTATTTATTAAGCCCTGCCGCGGTGGTCTAGTGGCTAAGGTACTCGGCTGCTGACCCGCAGGTCGTGAGATCGAATCCCGGCTGCGGCGGCTGCATTTTCGATGGAGGCGAAAATACTGTAGGCCCGTGTGCTCACATTTAGGTGCACGTTAAAGAACCCCAGGGTGTCAAAATTTCCTGAGCCCTCCACTACGGTGCCTCATAATCATATGGTGGTTTTGGGACAATAAACACCACATATCAATGACTATTATTATTAAGTCCAAGATAACCTTACACGTGGGAATGACATGGGGGTGCTTGTGTGCTATTTTCTTTCTCTTTCCCTTCCTTCTTTAAAAACTTGGTGTGACGTCATTTTGCATGCGTCCAACACAGACTGTTTCTGATGATCCTGCAGTTTGACGTTTCTCCTGTGTCGGTTCGATATTTTTCATCGATCACCGGCGCAGGTTATACAGTAGGATCCGCGCTTGAAACTCGATGCCTAAAACCGGACGGCGGCAGGCGTTCTTCACGTCACCACATAGTGTTGGGTGATTAATGAGGAAGGACGCACTCAGTCACAACGTGCCACACTAACTCTCACTTTTTAATCGTGCACCACGCACTAGATTAGTAGCTTCGGTCCTCTCTGTTTAGCGCTCCCACCCACAACCCCCTAAAAAAAGCCAGCAGTGGCAAGCATTTCAAGTGCGCTGCGTTATAATCACCGAAGTCTTTCGGCAACGGGTGCGCGCCCAATGACGAAAGATTACTGGACACGATATTCTGCACTAATGTGGATTCCCGCCTAGGCTGGAACAATCTGAAAGCGTGATTCTGCAAGAGATTTCGTGACCTGAGTAGTGATCCGATAAATTATAAGCGCCACACGTTGACACAGGATGAATTCACATAGGACTTGCCCCCGTATTCACAAACGCTCCTCGACTCGACTTTCACCCTTCACTTGACATAGTTGAGCACTGCGCCGCTGCTCGTCTAAAAGTGGCGCTGCGCTACTCAAGAATCGTGGCACATTATCGCTGATATGCAGTGACTTCCCCTGCTTGGAGACGGCGCTCCCATCGGCCTTCTCAAGTGAAGGTGAAGCGTTCAGTGAAGGACACGTTCTAGAATACGGGGGTTAGACAAGTTATACCACATGATACTGCGAGGGTGTGCACGACGCGCCAAAGAAATACTGACTTGCCTGTGATCCGTCCGAGGCCAGGTATTAGTTCACCAGCGTAGCCGGCAATGTGCGAGCCCAGGCTGTGGCCGAGTATGTGAAACGATTCCGGATTTGCGCCAAAGATGGCCTGTGTCAATTCAAAGTAAATCGAATCAAATTTGTTTTGACGAATGACTTATGCTAATGACCGTGGACAAAGAAGCAAAAAAGCAAGCACTGCTTGACACGGTCCATGAACCCAGTTTTACCCCCTTCATTCACGACGTATACTTGTGTACGCGAACTTCGAAGGTGCGTCACACACCGCGTGTTCTTTCAAATGGCCTGGAACTCTGCAGTGCACATTCCTGCACGCTTTCTGAGTGGACAACTAGTGGTAATATAATTTAATTGTGCTAGTGATTGCTGCAGATAATTACTTTCATGGGGACACTACAATGAGTCGACAATCGCTCGATGTGCCACGTTTCTGGAATAACGAGAAAAGTATTTCTTTTCCGCTCGAAACGAATACAACCTTTAAAAATCTGTTCTTACGTCTCGGGTCTCATAGTTGATTTTTTATGCAAATATTGAATCTATATGCCGGAAGAGTAACTAATTAGATACCCGCTCATTAACTTGAACTGCTGAATCTAACTGGAAAAAAAAACACATTCCTTCATTTTCTAGTGTGGAATGTAATGCCGAGTGACTTCGAATTATGCCATGCGAATTGAGCGTGTTTCTGACAGTTCATCACAATTCGTGACCAAAGGGGTCATAGGCAGCAGCAAATCAACAGGTGAACGTGTGGGCACTCACCGCTCTTCCTCCTCGCACGGTTAGGAGCGTTCGATCAGGATGAGGGATGAGCTGACGAACGATGCCCATTGAAAGAAACGGTGAGAAAAAAAAAAACGAGGGCCCCTTTTGTATCATCGAACGCGTGAAACTCGGCTTTTACTTCCCCGTTTAGAAGACTTCTGGCCGTTATGTAATCGTTGTAGAATTGTCCAAAATTGCAACACCGCAACCAAATTCGTATACCCCTTAGTGGTTTATGGGCCCTTTAAGTTTGGGTAGTATTTGTGCTTGGCTTAATTGTTATCGTCTGTCCACCTCAGCAAACATGCACAGTGCAATACGCTTAAACATTTAACACAAACACGTAGGTGGTAAGATGGAACAGGTGACCATTTAGAACGTAAGGTGGAAGGCACCTGTACCGTGTAACATATGCCTTGTACTTAAGTATGTAGTCATTTAAACTTGGGTAGACTATTAGGTACTTTTGGTAGAAACAATATATGTATTAGTCATAGTTGCTAACATTGCTGCTTGAGTCTCTATGGTCACTAATTTGCTCATCTAAAGTGACCTTCACGCCGATGCTTCAACGCTACTGAATGTTTGTTTCGTTTTTCCTCATATAAGTGTATTTGCGAAATGTTTGGTGTCTGCGTTGTGCCGGCTACTCTGCTTCTCTCTCTCATTATAGTTGCCGTCGTATTGTTGTCAGCAACCGCAAACTGCACAAATATATACATGGATAGACATTGACACCCACACTCTAAGTAATGCAATATAGTCATGCAACTGATATTGGACCCTTGTATACTTGGTCACCCTTGATTTCCCGCTCCGATGCGACACTGTTATGCCGCCTTTGGTTGGCTGTTGCAATCACAAAGGTGTACTATTTTCGCATCGGTATGGCAGACACCTCTGCATGCGACTCCAGCGGAGCGGAAGAGACCATCGAACACGTCCTGTACAACTGCGACATCCAGCAATGCCAGCTCCGGATGGTTTTGAACCAAACTGGACACTAGACCATTCTCTGTGCAGATGATTCTGAAACCTTGGGCGTGTGCCTCAGTTGCGCAGAAAGCGGCTAAAGCGCTACTACATTACTTGAAGACAACAAACCTGAGCGACCGCCCGTAGACTGCGTGTGCTCCTCCGAGTGTGCTCATGACTGTGTGTACCTTTCCTCCTTTCTCTCCTATCTCTTTTCTCTCCTTCATTCCTTCCCCAGTGCAGGGTGGCAAACCGAAGGTGCGTCTGGTTAAGCACCCTGCCTTTTCTTGCATCTTTATATTTCTCTCTTTCTCTCTCTCTACATTTCTACCCTTTCAATGCAACCGAGATGAGCTCACCCACAAGTAAACTCGAACACATAAGCTCGAACGATCTTTTACTTCGTACCTGAAGCTTCTTAATGAACGCGGCTATTTCGGCTCCCACAAGCCTCGTGTTGGCCGTAGCCTGCGTGTACGGCAGGCCGTTGCCTCCTCTCCAGTCGACGATGATGACGTTGTAGTCGCCCACCAATAGGAACGCCGTTTTCATGTCCTTGACGTAAAGTACGATAAAAAAATACAGAGGAGTAAAATCTTTATAACTGATTTTCAAGAGAACTTAAAGCATGCTGTAATCCCGGTACCGTTAACATAAAACGGCAAGGAACTTCTAATTTATGAGTTGGGTAGCGATTACAACTTCATATTTTTGTTTTCTTCAGTTCCTTCTCACACAGAGGTCACATTGACACAAAGGATCCTTAGCTCACCCGTGTTTCCCGGGGGTTTTTTATTTCTCTTCAAACGGATTACCACCGTGCCCAAACTGCCCAAAGCGATTGCGTATCCAATTTGGCTGCGTGCGGGATGCAGTACAAAGTGACAAATTGGTACATTATTGAAAAACAGAACAAAACGTTGAATTTCCGCGTGGGGCCGGACCGCGTTATTGGCGTTTCACATAAAGCCAGAAATGGATACTGCAAGGACATTATTATTCTCTCTATGCAACTAGCACAAAGACGATAACCAAGCGTCTTAATGTATATACGAGCGATAAACGTGATTCAGCGAAGTGGTTGCGAGTAAAGACGGCAGGCAAAATCAACGTGTTTCAGTAAACAACGAAATATATGTATGACATAACAATTAAATATAGTATAAGCAGTTATCAACATTAAGATCACATAAGACAATCAATAATACACTTGATCTATTGTGAGGGTCATAATAATAGTCCATAATCAAAGCTTGATTAGAAGCGCGATCGTTGAGTCCAGAGCACCCAACGAAACGCTTTCTCTCGATCAAAGAAGCCGTAAGAATGGCTGGTGGATACGAGATAGTCTTCGTACGAGTCGCGTCACACTGTATAGCACGTATGTATCAATACATCACAATTGGCCTGACCTTGAGCCACGCTCCGAAGAAGACCGTGTCCAGCCAACCGTGCGTGATGATCTTCGTGGGCTGGCTGGCATTGAAGTGACTACGACTGATCTGCTCCACCGTGGAGTTCCACCTGAGGTAGTCGTTCTGAGTCGGGTTCTTGCGCGTGAACACCAGGAACTCCGTGTTCACCACCCAGCGTTCTTCGGGAAAGAAGTTCACTGGTCGGTACAGCGGGTGGTAGAAGGCGCCGCCGATGCTGAAGCAGCCCAGCTCGCCGTAACAACGCCACGATGCCTTGTCTGCTAGGAGAAAAAGCGAGCCACATAACGAAACCATCTCGCCTGCTGGCGATGGCAGAAAGATAAAGAGACAGCAGAAGCGAGCGAAGAAGAAAGTTGACCGAAAGAATGGGTAGGGAAGTAAACCGGAAGAAATGTGCTGTTTGCTATTCACGTCGGTGTTTGGAAGAAGGAACAATTAAGAACGCCAGGACTGCTCGGGGCACTCAGCGTAGGCACAGAAAAAACCGGAACAGTGGGCTTTCAAGAGCCCGCTGTAAGCTCTGCTGGGGCGATTAATGCAAGTACAGTTACAAGACACCCACTACACCATAAATTGTCACAATTTTTTTCGAAGTAAAGAAACACCCACTACGCCATTATTCATCAATGTGTGAAAAAGCTAGGTACCTGCTACATATCTATAAGGCATTGTGACCCCGTCGCGGTGGTCTAGTGGCTAAGGTACTCGGCTGCTGACCCCGCAGGTTGTGGGGTCGACTCCCAGCTACGGTAGCTGCATTTCCGATGGAGGCGGAAATGTTGTAGGCCCGTGTGCTCAGATATGGGTGCACGTTAAAGAACCCCAGGTGATCGAAATTTCCGGAGCCCTCCTCCACTACGGCGTCTCACATCATGTGGTGGTTTTGGGAAGTCAAACCCCACTTATCAAATCAATCAATGTAAGGCATTGTGCGCACTTTTTCTGATGCCTTGGTTGATGGCGATGAACAATTATGAGTTCGCTCTTTGTGGTGGATTGAAAGCTTTAAACGAACCGCACGTTACGTACATCGCATCGCGTAACGCTTAATTGCTATTTCACTCTTCTAGAAGGCTATAGTACAGCTGTTGACGTGGTTTAATAGCGTTTCTTAGTCTGCCTGGCCCCTTGGTATATGTGTGCCAAGCACCAGAATTCCACGGGCGAACGGCGCATGTGCGTGCCCGAAGAAGAACCACTGATTGTGGTTGGCGTTCACCTCTAATCTGTTAAGTTGCCGTCTGCAGCTCACTCGCTTTATTTTATAATTTATATTCTTCTTAATCGTGTCCTTAAACATTGACAGCAAGGCATTGCGGTCGTTTTCGCACTGTTTTGATTGATTGATTGATACCCTGGGTTTAACGTCCCAAAGCCACCATATGATTATGAGAGCCGCCGTAGTGGAGGTCTTCGGAAATTTTGACCACCTGGGGTTCTTTAACGTGCAACCAAATCTGAGCACATGGGCCTACATTTCCGCCTCCATCAGAAATGCAGCCGCCGTAGCCGGGATTTGATCCCGCGACCTGCGGGTCAGCAGCCGAGTACTTTAGCCACTAGACCACCGCGGCAGGGCTTTGGCACTGTTTTAGAGGGCCGTGCTCTAATAATCGATACTATAAGCTTAGCGAGTGGCGATGGGTGCTCTCGTAATCTTGGATAACAACGAATACGTCTTTGTTAGTAGTGAATAAGTAATGGGGTAGATTGAAAGGCTATTTTTGTTTGCTAGATACGGCATTAATTAGAACAATTGGGAAAGCCCATTATAGTATATAAGGTGTTTTTTATTGCAATTGTGAATCAAATTGAAGAATGTAAAGTGAATGAAAAGACGATTTGCCTCTGGCAGGGACCGAGCCAGCCACCTTCGAATGATGCCTCCGATGTTCCACCAAGCATGACAAGCCGCCCTACCTGTTAGTTCTAATTAATGTTGTGTTTGTGACTAATCCTTCATCCTCCATAACTGGCGCGACTTAGTCTTGCGGCAACTATGGCACATGGTATCCGGTATTACTTACGCCTTAGCATTACCGGAATATTGAACGTGAGTGATCCACGTAAGATTGAACAAAACATGACTGGTCGACCTCTTAAACGTGTTTCAATGTTTTATATATAATTATCTAATGAGTGGAAAGAACAGATGCGCAACTGGTCTTGCCTGAAATTTTTTTTCGAACCACAGTAAATCAATAATGACGAAGACGTGGAATGCCACGCTTACCTGCTGTGCTGTTTCTTACGACTTTGGCGATGAATTACAGAAAGTAGATTAAAGGTACGCTCTTCGAGTTTGTTTAGCTGAATATATGTATATTTGTGCTTATACGTTGAATTAATTTTCACTTCTTTCGGCAGTGCAGAAATTATCAAAAAAAACCTCAATCAACTCAAATGTTGTTTCTTGCCTACACTGCACACCTTTATTTCAAAAAGGACCTATGACAGAGCGGTGGTGAAATTTTCCCCGTAATTTCTCAGCACTGTTATTTATATAACTGCCAAAGCTTATATTAATAACGTTGCTGACCCGCACGTAGCGGGATCGAATCCCGGCTGCGGCGGCTGCATTTCCGATGGAGGCGGAAGTGTTGTAGGTCCGTGTGCTCAGATTTGGGTGCACGTTAAAAAACCCCAGGTGGTCGAAATTTCTGGAGTCCTCCACTACGGCGTTTCTCATAATCATATGGTGGTTTTGGGACGTTAAACCCCACATATTAATCAATCAATCAACGAATTCGTATACTGCTTTTTTTAGGAAGCAGTTTCGAGCAACGGCGTGGTTTCAAGGTAGATTACTTACATGCTACGCGGAAGGTGTGGATACAATTCGCACTCTAACCAAATGTCAAAATACATTTATTTGCATCTATCTCGAATTTCCGCTCATGGATAACGTGGATGTTTCGCATACAGCGGAATTACAACCGAAACCGGAATTTCCGAGACACAAGCTTTTTATTGCTATCGCGTTAACATGTCAGCCCACGCAAAGGAATAGTCGGCACTAATATAACCTTTCTTTTTGGTAAGTATTAAAGAACAGGAACAAGAACAGCATTTTAGGTTATAATGGCATCGTTGACATAGGTGTGTTTCAGTGTTTAATGTTTTTCATATCCTGATGTTTCTGTTCTTCACCTTCGTCACCGAAGAGGGGGGCAGAAGGGGAGAACAGGAGCTGCGAGGTTCATGTGTGCCCCCACCCGAGATTTTCACATTTGCGGCCTAATATCAACGCGCACACAAGTGGATTCAAGCACGGACATACACAGTGCATGCACAACCCCCCCCCCCCCCCACCGCGCTCCCACTCACCCTAAAAAAATGTCAGTCTATGCCCTTCTTGCGTTGTATGCTGGACGCATTCAAGCGCTGCGGAGTAGTTGGTGCCCTATTTACTGGCCGACTTTTCAAGTCATATCCATTGTAATAGACAAGAATCCGTAAGGTTGGCTCTGGTGTAAAACAAACGCCTCAAACTCACCTTTAACATCAGGTTGCGTAGTCGAGCTTCCTTGAAACGTGCAATGTAAAACAGCCGCAAATACAAGCAGCGCGTATCGGGCCCATCCACAATGCGCCCGATGCCCAATCATGATGCGCTTTCGAAAATCCTGCGGAAAGGATTAACAGCACTTGAGTTTCCACAGTGTAACCAACAGCTGCTAGTAACTCATCGTGGCCGCCCGCTGTCGTAGAGCTTCTGGATTCGCCGAGTGAATCCGGGAGAAGAAGTGGAGAGTGTCCCCTTCTTCGCCCCCAGAGTGCGCATATATATTGAAGAGAGAAATGTTTTCCAAGAGTGCCTTCTTAGTATCATTCCACAGTAGCACCAACAACAACCCCGATATGCAGGCATTTGAGCCGCGTTATGTCCTCGTCGCCAGCGCGATACTCGAGACAACACATATAAGCCAGAGGCGGGGTGCAGCGAGCCAATGCTGTGCATACGTGCTCGCGATACTCTTGGCTGATCTCGTTTGCCCTTTAAAACCGCAAACCGTTAGAATAGATTTGATAGCGAACCCGTTAAGCACGCACTTGGCATATAGGGAGACGCCTTCTTGAAGAAGCGGAGGACATCGACCATGTGACGGTTACACGTGCTCGCGCTCGACTGCTGAACCGGAGGTTGTGGCATAGTCTGCCTCGATGGTTCGGAGGCTAGGGTGTTCGGCTGCTTACCAGATGGTCTCGTGTTCGATTCCGGCTGTGGCGGTCGCTTTTGATGGCGCCGATTTTTTGTGGAGGGTCGTGTGCTGTACGATGTGATTGCACGTTAAATAACACCAGACGATAAAAAATTCCGTAGCTGTCCGCTACGGCGTCTCTAAATTATATTTACGTTTTTGGGACGTAAAACCCCACATATCAATAAGGATGCGGTATAGAAACCTGGCCTCGGCGTCCCCATTTCGTTCGTGGCGAAATGCTCAAGTCCGGGATTTACGAGCATGGTGAAGAACCCGGAGGCGGCCGAAATTTCCGGAGCCCTCAATCTTACGTCGTCGCTCATAATGAAATCCCGGATTTCTGACGCACAATTTCGCGAATACTTATGGATTACGCGTGATCGCACGCCCGCTTTAGTTGCCTTTGGCGACAGCTTGGTGATTTACGCAACCAGGTACGGATCTGTCATCTGACGCTTCTTGGTCGGCTGTAAATACTGCGACTATACGCGACGGCATATATAACGCACCTGACCTCTCAGGTTTATCGTCGCTTTATCTTGATCGGCGCGTGGTGATGCGAGCAGCGCAGATAAGGTCGCCGCTGAGCATTGTTCTTTCTTCACGCGTGTATATCAATCAGCTACACTTTGCGCGTGTAACTTTCTCTGTGAACTCTACTTTTCTGTGACATTGCCCATCGAATTAGATTTCTGATTAACAATATTATTATTTGTAATAACAATAACTTCTTGTGTTTACCGAGGCGGACTAAAATTTTCTATCTCATGTGACATCTAGAATATACTGGGTATGGGAACGCACCGTCAAGGATAGGCAAAGCTAACTTGAAGTGTGGTGCTGGTAATTGCGAGGGTGGGGGATAGATTTCAGGCCACAGAAGCCATATTTTGACGAACACCCACATTTAGAAGCCGCTTCGCTGAAGATGATGATTATGATGATGATGTGGAGGAGGATGAAACAGGAGACGTGGCCAAGTCAGGAGACACTTTCTCCTTTTGCCTCATTCGTGGGCATTTTGTGAAAGCGCTGCCCAAATAAATGAAAATATTTAAATTAAATACCATTAAAATGAAGGGAGCAGACACTGCGCCATGCCTAATGATCACACTGTTATGGAATGTGAAAGCGCATAGGTTAATTTATCAGTTTTCAGATAATTAATGGGTTTGAAAAGAATGCAGCTACACCACAATTTAGTGATGAAATGCATATAGTACCTGCCATTTCAAACCGGGATGAACATGTCAGCTATCGTGAAATAATATAACGGGAATGAATTGAAGGTTACCGAAAGGTCATGTAGTGTCTGCTAAGTCAGGTCGTGCAAGATTCAAACACAATAGTTAAGCACAGAGTCAGTGATAAGGGAAATCAGACATACTCGGTGCCGGCAGAGCACTCAGTTGAGATTTGTGAGACAAGAAAAACCTTACTTTACAGAACGAAATTCACCGATAAAAGACGACTGCCACTGCACTTTCTAGGTGCTTTCTGTTGTAGTCGGCAGTGGACCACAACGCAATCTGCTGGATACGATTTGAATGGCTTTTGCAGAGTAAGCCAACTCTCGCGTTTCCACCTTATCTTTTGAATAATACATTTTGTTCGACTCCGTCATGCTTAAATTTATTGTATGTCCACGTCTGTTGTGAACAATGAAGATAAGGTAGTTCAGTTATCATCAGTATTCCTTACACTCACATTGTTTGCCAAGGGGCAGGCGCTATGCCCAAAAAAATGCAGAACTTAAGCAAGAGCGAAAATTCAATGAAAAAACGTTCCGCCTCTGCTGCGGGCAGACCACACTACTGGACACGATACAATTCAACCGAGAAAAGAAGTCGGCTTTCACCTTCGAGTCGTCTTCTATAGACAAATGCAAAAAGCAACCTGTGAGCAATCAAACAGTCGCCGTCTCCTATTTGGGGATAGGGGATATGGAGTGTGGGGCTCATTATAATGTTCGAGGCTGGCCACCTGCCGTAAATACGGTTGGTCGGTTTGTTCCTCGGTATCTTGGCGCATCCCACTCTGACGGGGATAGACTATAAATCAGACGGTGCCTTGTTTAGTAGACTACACTTCCTGTAGCAAAAGGTTGAAATTAAATAGTTTAGCCATTACAAATTAACAGTATAATATTATCATTATAATAGCACGGGCTCTCTTCTAAACTGTCGTCTTCTGCCCATGCTCCCGAAACTCGTGCGCGCATTTCTCCAGCGTGAAATGAGAACTCAGATCGAGAACTCGGATAGGAGAGAACGAATACAGAATCTTCTACGAGAGCCATCATTTCGACGATCACTTCTCATTCCAGTTCTCCTGTTGTATTCAGTTCGTCATGTTGGCTTGCCACAGATTTTATATACGGTAAGGACCCATCGGTAAGGACCCATCTCAGTACATGGGTCCTTACCGTATTACCCTTCAGATAACGGACGTCACCTATGATATCGTTCAGTCTCTGAAGCTACCTCGCGTGCAGTCACACCCGTAGCCTTACTGCGCCTCAGTAGACTTGAAGCATACCGCGCCCCTTCTGACTACCATCATTATAGTGCACCGAGTTGAGCCTTCGATCTCCGGGACCAGCGATACGTAGATATCACAATGAAAGCGTGGAGTGAGGTGCTCTGCTTTCAGAACACCAGGAGAGCAGGCCTGCATGGTTCGCGTGCTGTCCTCCTTCATCTTGATCAATGCTGTGCACCTCAGCGTAAATGTACGTTGCAAATAGTCACACCTTAGTTTACGTAACACTATCTTTGGAAGCCCATTAGAAGAGCACGGCTGGGCGTTACTGGAGCGGCAGTACAATTACAGCATAACATAACGGAAATGTGCAGAGCGGGTGTCTGTACCACCGCTCTCTTCGGCATAAACGGGAGCCTTTTACTCAGTCGCCTACGAGTGGCGGTGTAAATCATGGTTCTAATTTGCCTCACCAACCGTTGAACGCTCCTGGATTAAGAGGCGTTTGCAAGTGTGTGTGTGTGTGTGTGTGTGTGTGTGTGTGTGTGTGTGTGTGTGTGTGTGTGTGTGTGTGTGTGTGTGTGTGTGTGTGTGTGTGTGTGTGTGTGTGTGTGTGTGTGTGTGTGTGTGTGTGTTCTGGAGGAGAGCTACAGCCCTTCCATCTCATTAGTGGTAAGCGATGGATGCAACAGAAACTTGACTATACCGGTGAGCGATTGCCCTTCGGCAAGGTGACATTATACGTCGGTGGTGTATATCCAAGAACCAACCACAAACACAAGCGAGACGGTCAGAGAAGGCTATCAGCTATTTGAAGACCACACGATGTCCTTGGCTTTCTTATCTGTTGACCTTGCGTGATTGTCTATAACAGAAAATTGTAGCTGTGTACTCTCCTCGTTCGTGGTGCGTTTTGTCCGCAGCAGTGGTGGCACTCATGCAACGATTTCAATTGCGCTCTCTCTCTATATCTCCATATCTTGACTGGACACCTTGACTAAAATTTCCAAAGAAAAAAAATTGACAGGGCCTAGGCGACCGACATGGCCCCGCCGCGGTGGTCTAGTGGCTAAGGTACTCGGCTGCTGACCCGCAGGTCGCGGGTTCAAATCCCGGCTGCGGCGGCTGCATTTCCGATGGAGGCGGAAATGTTGTAGGCCCGTGTACTCAGATTTGGGTGCACGTTAAAGAACCCCAGGTGGTCGAAATTTCCGGAGCCCTCCACTACGGCGTCTCTCATAATCATCAGTGGTTTTGGGACGTTAAACCCCACATATCAATCAATTAGGCGACCGACATGCATGCATCACCCGAAATCACGTGACATCAGGCTACCGTGACAGATAAGTTGATCTCAGAGAATTATTGAACGACATGCACAAAAAAATTAAATCATTTCAGCTGTGCTCTTAGGGCCTCTTGACCTTCCAAATTCCTAAAGGAGTGTGTTGTTTCTCTCTCGCCTTCACTGCTCTTCCCTCTGTTTTTATTTTCTTTTCGCCACTTACTTGTTCATAAAACACGTGGAAAAATATTATGCCTAAGTGGTCGGCCAACCGGGATTTGGCGCTTTTCTGCCACACGCTGCCGGTTGTTCCGCTTGCGCAGCCGAAAACGCACAAAGCGAAGTGACACCAGTTTCTCGCGCACAATAGTCACGCTAGAGTCACGCACAACGGACGTGCGACTGTATTGCGAACCACCGTAGGTGACGGTTCCTCACTGATACCCGGTGTATAATCACTAATCGGGATCTTATTTCCCCAAGACTTCACGTGAACAAACTGCTGGCATTATGTATTGCGCTTAGAAGCCGCGAAACACCGCGAGAGAATCGAACCCTCGTTCACCGTATTTACATAAGTTGTTTTCAGGCCTTTCAAGAGAATTTTTTTTACACAAGGCGTTAACCGGAAACTGGGTGTAAAACATGCTAGTCTTTTCTTTTTTTTTTAATGTCTACCAATGCAGTAATTGATAGGCTGCCCATGTTTGCGCAAACGTCCTTGCTGCGCAGCTGTTCGGGAAAATTCTGCCAAGCAATAGTGACGTCATATGTTGCATATATTGTAGTAGCATGGGTGGATGGTCACTACGAAATGCCCCTCATGAATTAGAGGCTCTGTGAATATAGCATTCACTGCGTCGATAGGCGATGCTAAGTTGCAGCTCCATTTCAACAGTTTCCAGAATATATTTGGTGTGCAAATAGCTTCCACATATCAACTGGTTGTGGCCTTTACCTGAGTTTCGAAGTATATGGTTTCATGCTTCGTGAGCTGTGTGGTGTAAGTGCACGCGCATTCGCAGCATGAGTAGTAATGGACAGTTTAGTGACGTTTAGCAATCCTTTAATGATACCGGCACGTGAGTGGAGATTCCCGTGGGGCTGGAAGCCTGGCACTTGTGGAACGTATTCTTCAAAGCTTCGCTGAAAGAGAGAGAAAATTGAAATGAACAGTGCTGACTTCTGGGTTGCAGCACTTCTAATTTTTGTGGAGATGGCCTCAAGTGTGAGGCCCTCGGGAAGTCTTTCAGCTCTCCTTTAGGGGCAGTACCAAGTACTCTAAAATTGTTCACCACTTTTCCTAAACACAGTCTAATGCTCACAGTTAGAATTATTCGCAAGTGTTCACGCTTCAAACGTGTTAACAGTAACGAAGACCGAAAACCTTGCATGAAGTAAATAGTGGACACTAAAGTGCGAGAAACTTTCCACGTTATGGTGTTAAGAGAATGCAATGTGGAACCACTCAGAATATTATTTCATAACATAGCTCCACTGATTCCTGTTTTCAAAAAGTGATTTAGCAGTGGTAACGAAATGAAACGCGACATCACAAACTTCAAACAAAACGAGTTGTACAAGAAATTTCTCGAAGTAATGACGCCGTGAAGCTGCGAATGTGACCACCGAAATGCATATTGGCTCTGGTATAAACGTCTGATCCACTTTTATGCCAATGTGACACGAACTGCAGATGGTATGAACGAAAGTATTTACAGCCGGCGCCAGAAGTTTAGATATCATTAGGGCTGAGGAAGCTTCGAATTTTCCTGCAATATGCGACTGTTCAGTTTAACTGCAAGGGGCAGTTCGTTAATGCGTTTTAGAACAAGCCAAAATTCACGGCTGCCTCTCGAAGTTGCGGGAGTATTCAGCGTTTTGTATGTCTTGTTGCCTCTAAAGTTCCGATGATGACTGTAGAACACTTAGCCTTAAAGTGATGCGTGTCATTCAGTGAGCACAGCACGTAGCTCATATGTCATGTATGCGTCCTAAATCTGTAATGTGCTTTGTTAGCTACTATGTACAAGGGCGATATTGGGGAGGTAACAAACTTCTCCAAAATCAAGAAGGTTTTGTTCTCGGCATCAGCTCGTAGTACGTAAATGCGGAAGTGCGACAGGTCATGTTAAGGCATTGCAAGTAGGGACATCATTAGGATTTTTATTGTAATTCAATGGCTTATTGTTCTGAGTGACACGCTTTGATGTGAAAGTGACCGGCCTTCCTCTGGTCGGGGGTATGAACTCTTTCATTTATCCTAAACATTGTTTCACAAAAAAGTACGGCATACAAAGTGTTCGTACATTACTTGACAGAGTTTTATTAGGACAAAACCTTCAGTTCATTGAGTGAGATTACGTTGTTCCCGTCGATGCATGATTTCTATGATGTCTGCGTTTTAATGTCAAGACGCTAGTCGAAATCCTAAAAAAAGCAGGAGTCGAGAGAAGATGGAAACTTGTGCTGGGAGCCGCAGCATTGACGAAAAGTCCACTTTTCGAAACCTCGTCTGCAGCACACTACATGCTCACGAATTTTTAAAGGTACCGTCGGTGGGCGCCGATTATTGAACTTGTGAAATTGCGCAGAGAGGTGTCCATAAAAAGCTTCACTTTATAGCTACCTTGACGGGCCTTGGTTCACAATTGAATGCATGACTATCTGGTCACACGTAGACTTCGATCAGCTGATCGAAGCAATCAGAATTGCAGTGAATACCGCTATTCCTTCATTGTTCCGCGTTGACATTTTGGATTTGAACAAGCGTCATTGGAAGTCATTCGCGAAAGCAAAAAGAAAATAGAAAGCTGCGCAAAAAGTGGAGGTTCTGTTGGGATGTAGGTACTAGGAGAATTCTGTTCAGCTGACAAGAATAGAAACGGTGGGCGTAGCGTGTATTGATAGCGAAACCAGATTTGGCTCATCTTGTTGTTGACACTGTTATCTTGAAGGATTCACGTGGCTTACACTGCGGATTATTCTCAAAGTGTTCATCACAGGGGCTCAAAGAGACTCTACAGCATGTTTCCGAGTTGTCATAGAATCACCTTACTTATGGACTCTGTCCCTTTATGAGTTTCCTGCCACCAAGACGTGTAGCCTAATTCAAGTATAAGCGGAGTTCTTATGAAACGATCCCATACTTGTATTCTTTTCAAATAATGTTCAAGGGCAGGGAAATTTTCACAGTTAATGTAGGACGATTCTCTACTAAAACATGCCACATGCCATTCCAATACTTCCAGATTCTTACTGTGTATTACGAATACTTGCTGAAAACATATTGCGTACAAGTTTCACATATTTGTCAAAAGTTTCCACAAGAAGCGCACTGAAGCATGTGGTATCATAGGCACGGCATGAAGAACTTTTCAATGCCTGATGTGCGAATTCTAGTAATCATAATTATACCAATAAAAACACGAAAAGCCTCAAGTACAAATAAGTGAAGGGTCAGAACCTGGCTGGTTGAGCTTCCGGCACTTTCGTGGTTGGCAAATGTTTGTTTTCTGGAATAATACTTATTGAGCTTTTTTTTCCCAATTTTGGATCATTTGGGCACCCTTTACAATTTTAGAATACTGTTGAGGTATTCGTAAAAAGAATAATGCTGGCGAGTAGAGGCTTGTTCGCTAAAAAAAAACGAAATCGAATAGGACACCATACGATTTGACTTTGGAAATTTCGTGATGTTCGGTCAATTCTGAAAAAATATATATATGTATAGGTATGCGTCCGCCCAGTGTAAGTTACAGGAACAAGGTGACTAACAGTGTTCTACAAGCACTCCATACGTGTTTGAGCCTCTCTTCAACAATTCATAATTCCCGTTAACGTTGTTCCCACTCTGTATATAATCTACAGCCACATCTTTTAAAACAACTTTTTGTTGTATCCCTAGTGATCCACCGAATACGCTTCTGGTTTCCTCCATTTGAGTATTGTAACACCTTTTTCCAGCACTAAACATTTTACAATAATGCTTCTGACACCTGACATTGTGTTCCTCGTTGCATCTTGCTTCGTTGTTTGATAATACTTTTGCTAGGTATTGGATACCTGTCATTTATTTTTGTATTTCTCCTTATTTTAATTCACACCTTCCAAAAATTTATCCATAAAAGTAGTCTCTCATGAATGGTTTGATGGAAACTATTAAGCTTCTTACGTCAGTAGCACTTACCTCTCTGTGTATGGGGATGTCATCGGTCTGAAAGAAAGTCGCACTGTAGGGATGTTGTAGCTAAGCAGCACTTGCGTCGTCCTGTACTCGATCAGCAGCTTGCTCTCGGCGGTTAGCGGTATTGATGAGGTAACCAAGAACGTAAAGTTTTGGTGCGGATTGAAATCCAGTGCCCTGTGCGAACAAGGTAGCGATCAGCCGAGTCAACTTCAAGATACCTTGGAGTCTGGCGTTGCTGACAATTTGTACTGTAAATTCGGAAAATCTTCTTTCTGATCAGTTATTTCAATGCGGAGTATTTTGTCAAGCTGGTCGTAAAATTTCGCGTGATGCTAAAAGTCTCTTTGGACGCACCTTGTGCCAAAAACGGAAAAAGGTTTAGTACTCTATGAGAAAAAATCATTCACAAATAAGCAGGCAAGGGAATCCGAAGTACAATAATGTATGAATATATATTAGGACCGCATTGCTTTATTTGTAGTTGTTCTTCCTTATTGCATAATTTGGAAGTTAGTTTTCTTTTTGTAGCGACTGTCTCGATATCTGTACCACCTGCTGCCTTGTTCCGATTTGTCTTGACCTTCACGACTATCTCTGCAGCCAAGATCACACCACCAAATTATCTACGCCTTGCTGGGTAGGCAAATTTTTGCTGAAATAAGTATCGTCGAACCCAGTTACTCTATGTATTTGAATATAAATTACTTTGACTTTTTAAAGCTACTTGTACTGGTTCATAAGTCTTACCTAGCTTTGTTCAAACTAATTCTTGCGCCAGTGCCTTCCTCTGTCAGGAAAATATGGCCCCTTCCGTTGGCATATTGCACTTTTTTGCCAGTGCTTAGAGTAACTGCATACTGGAACACTGCAACGACGTGGCAGGGAAAAAAAGACAGTAAAGAATTAGGACGACGTCCTCTTCGAACAAAATAGTCGGTATAAAAAATGACTAAAATACTCTTAAAAGTTATTCAATAGCATTACTAATTACTTATACAAATTTTTTTAAACTACCATCAAATTTTGTTACAAAGAACAACCGGCCGAAAGCAATGGCAATATACTACTATTCTTTTTGAAATGTAAAGAAATTCGTATATATCTACTAAAGTGAATGTTCATTATTCATGAGCTAATTAATGTAACTTGCAGCCAATATGTAACTAATTATGTAACTTGCAGCCAAGTCTCAGGTCTTTGTTCAAGTGTCTACGCAAGAAGTTTGGAACTGATATGAACTATTTTATTTGTCTTTTTCTGGCCAATTTCGTTAACCACGAGGCTACTATACATACTATGTTTCAGACAAGTAATTGGGAAGATCATGAGTAATCTTCTAGAGCGAGACGATAAACTTTAATAACGGTTATGCTGCCTGGTTAGTGTAGGTGTAGCTTCTGGTCCCGGAACCCACTGGCTATTGCTGTGCCCTAAGCCTCCTACAAGTTACTCATTGGACGAAATTTATGACGAATGGTTAATTTATACCTGGTAGTGTAATAAATTGTCATACAATGTTTACCTCGATAACAAGGTAAAGGTAATTTAATTACATTAACTTCATTGCTCTCATATCTAGTCGGTGTTGTAAAATGTTCAATACAATTGACGAGAAAAACACAAAGCATGGTGAAGGATTCGGAAAAAGCTTCAACCTTGCTTTGAAGCGATGAGCGCGATATTTACAGGAACCAACCGTGACTGTATAGTAAGGCTTCAAAGTTATGGCAGCCCTGAAACCTTTCGATGTAGCTTTGATGAACACAAGCCCACTTACAAAACATCGGCTCCTGGACCTCCCCCCCCCCCTTCTCGTTGACGAAATTTGTCAACGTGAGGGCCGATCTCAGAGCCCCAAGTTTTGCATTAGGCTTAATTCACCTTCAAAGCGAAACCCTTAAATGACTCGTCAAACACGGAAATTGGCCGCCGGTGCATCGCGGCATTGGCACCAACAATAGTCCTTGCGTAATCAAGACGTTAAAAGTTCTGACGTCGTCATGGCGTCGTTGACGTCACATCAAGTGCCGTGACACGAAAACGTTATCGTGCGACCTCATTTCTTAGATAATAATGGGCCAATTATGGAGGCAGTGAAAGACTAGGTTGGAATCGAGGAACATAGCCTTTCACAAAGCACGCACACAAAATAAGTATGAAGACGACACACGCTGGGGTCGTCACACTACTCTTTTTTTGTGTACGTGATCCTTAAAACCTGGGTGCTTCGATTCTAAGCTCTGTACCAATAGGCCCAGCGCTAAATTCTTCTAAAAACTAGGTGATGGGTTGAAAGCCTCTGATGCTTCCGATTTAAGAAGTGAGAAACCATGGTAAGCACAGTAAGGTGTTAGAGGGAGGTGGGCATCGATAAATAGATTGAGAAGAACACAGCTCTCAATTTCAAGTCATCTTAGACTAGTGACTGGCGTACCATCTTATTTTTATTGTGCTCGTGTGCACAGAAACCCCCCTACACAATCGGCGCAAAACAATGAATGACAAGGTGAAAAAAATGTATTAAGGACGTGCCACGTCCTGTCTGTTTTTTACCTTGTCCTTCGTCTTTCATGCGTTAATTATTCACGTCTGAAGTTGATTCGCCTGAAATAGCCGAAACGGCATCCCTAAAACTGACTCCACTCACCACAGAACTTGCTCTCAGAGTTCGTCACGGTGAACATTCGTTTCGGCTCGCTCTTCTTGAAGCGCTTCCACTGGACAGCTTGCTCACCCATTGCTGCGCACCTCGAACCGTCCGCACCGCAGTCGAAACACTGCCCCCTTTCGTACGCCACCATGGAAGGGCACTCGTACGCAAGTGGTAAGCAGTCGCGGTTCCAGATAGACTCCAACATGTACTTCACGGCGCGCTGGTGGTTGCAGCTGACGACATCGCGGACGCCTGGCGCATGAAAACAGAGCGTGAATCCAGTGTCATAAATTATCACCGCCAATGTTAATGACAAAATGGTGACTTACCTAAGGTATACATGATCATATAGAACACACATTCCCACAGGTGTGTTGCATCTATTAAAGAAATGAATGACGCACGCGCTTAGTCTGTGCGAGTGCAATGCGATGGAGTTGTTGGTCCGTTTCACACCATCTTCACAATCGCTTGCCAAGCGATCGCATCTCGTTTGATCACTGAAGCGCTTTTAATCATGCCGAATCAACTGGCATAATCAGCGATTTCGCTCCTACCTATGTCTCACCCATAAAGTCTCCTAATACTAACTGTAGGGGTGTCTGGTGCTGCGACCGTTTAGCGAGCCTGGTAATTATGGGTAGTACATGTATTTGCCTATTCTTCGTACTTGCGGGCTTCGAATTGCACTTTTTTCTTCGTCTATAGCTGTGTTTTGGTTTCCTTGCGAACAAAATAACAAACCGTTTCGAACATCATGAGCGAATTTGAATCAGTGAGTCAAAAAAAATTAAGGTGGTCAAGTTCAACTGATAAACTACTGATCGTCGTTTCATGACAAAGTCTCTTCAAGCCACGTGAAGCCGGAAGGAACGTAAAGTACGAAGACTAGACAAATTCATGTACTACCCATAATTCCCATGCTCGCTGGAGCGCCACGCGTTGCAGCTCCCATTGAAAGCAGTGCCAGAGTTCCCTCTAGTGTATTTATAGGAAACTCCCTGGTCTCACCTTTGATGAGGCCGTGAGTGAAAATCTTCCAGACACGGTTGACCGAGTCGCACCCGGGCATGTACTCTCCGCCGTTTGGGTAGAAGTCGACGTGGCCGACGGGGTCCCACATTCCCATGCCTTCGCTGCTCCCTGCACAAACGACATTACGATGTAGCTTGCTATCTTTGGTAGTGTGGTCGCACTGTGTTTTGAGGTGAAAGCCCCAGAAGCTTGATCTAACGCGAAAACTGTATGACCGGTGTCCCCCGCGGCCGTGTCGACACAGGTGATCAAAAATTTATCATCACATGATGACATCATCATGACGTCACATGAGGACGCTATCACGTTGGTCAAAGATGGGCTGATCCCAGGGGCAGTGCCAAACAGTGAGATGCAGAAAACATATGATGTCTCCGATCTCGGAGTCACTGCAAACGCATGTTAGTTGCTGTTATGCCAGCGAGTCCTCGTCAAACTACCGTGCCTCTGAAAAAGGCAATCTGGGTCAAGGCCAGCCCGCAGTCTGCCTGGAGCGATCACCTCGACGGCGTGAACACGCGCGGCGCTTCTCTCGCCCACGTGCACTGAGTCAGCGGCGCACGTGACAGCGAGCCGGCGTTCTCGTGTCTGGTGGTCTGACGCATGGCGCGGCAACCTCATTGGAAGAATCTGCGCTGACGACCAGCGGCGCTTCTGATTGGACATTTTGGTTGGACCCGGTGTAAATAAAAGAAGCCCTGCGGCGCGTCGCGATCGGAGGTCCTAGGAGAGGAGTCCCCGTGTCGGAGGGCCGACATGTGTGTGAGTCAGCGATCTTAGGCGAAAGGCTGACCTATGTATTAGAGAGAGGAGCTCGGCTCTTCGAGTCTCTGCCGGCCCCAGTGCCGAAATTGTAACGCCTCTGTATATATGCTGTACATAAACCTTGTTTAACTCACCGTCGTCTCATCCGCTCGTCTTATCAGCTCTGCGCAGAAGCAGTCGCGAGCTGAGAAACATACGCTACCAAACGGCTGGTGACCTTCCCGGCGGAGTTGAAAGCAGTGGCGCCTTCGGGGCCGTGTTGGCGTCGCCGTCTTTCGCAACAGTGGTGGCTTCGGCGGGATCGGTCCGTCGTTCGCAACAGTGGTGGCAGCGGTGGGATCCACGGAGGCAGATGCGCAACAGTGGTTGGCAGCTGCGGGATCGGCCGGCGTCAGCGACATCGATGCGGTGAGTGCCTGATGTTTTCCCCTCAGTTCACCAGACTACTCTAGCTCAGGTTGTAGTAGTTTAGAGAAGGGCTGTGTGAAGCATTAGAGTGAGCTTTGATCGTTTCAAGCAAAATCGAAGTGCTTTGAAACCAAAGTTAATGCGGAGGGGGTAAACACGGGAGAGTGAAAAGTTGCTTGCGCGTCTTGCTAGTTGACTTATAGTGGGTACGGCAAGTAAATTGTTAACAGGGGCAAACAGCAAGAGGCTAGTGTGAACGATGGAGAACCTTAAAGTGAAGGAACTCATCGAAATTTGTGAGGAACTCGGCATTACTTTGGGCCGTGCGAAACGAAAGCAAGCGATCCTTGAGATCATGAAGGATGAGGGAGTGTCGGCTGAGGAAGTCGATGAGGCCTGGGCGGATATTAAAGCACGCCGCGAAGAGGCTGAAAGGCGCGAAGCTCGCGAAGAAGCTGAAAGGCGCGAACGTCGCGAGGAGGCCGAGAGACAAGAGCGCCTAGAGTTGAAACGACTAGAATTGGCAATCCTACAGTGTTCGCAGGCGCCTAGCGTAGCTTCTCCGACGATTCAGGTCAGCGGTTTTAGAATTCGGGACCAACTGCCACCGTTCGTAGTAGGCGAGGACATGGCGAAGTATCTCGTCAAGTTTGAACACGTCTGTGAGCGAAACGCTTTGGAGCGGTCTCTTTGGGCGCAGAACCTGTTAGCTCTTCTTCCCGGCGAAGTGTCCGACGCATTAACTTGCTTGTCTAGGGAAGCGTTTGAGAGCTATGACGAGGTTAAGGAAGTGCTCTTGAGACGTTACAAGTTGTCACCCGAGGCTTTCAGGCAAAGGTTCCGGTATGCTGAAAAGGGGAATGAGTCACACGTTGACTTCGCGCTTCGTCTTAAGGCCGATTTAATCGAATGGCTCAAGGGCGAAGGTGTTTATGACGACCGCGATAAAGTGGTGGAATGCGTTGCATTGGAGCAATTCTACCGCTGCATCGAGGATAATGTCAGGCTTTGGCTGCAGGACAGACTTGGTGAAGTAAAGCTAAACAAGGCAGCAGAGTTAGCTGAGGAGTATTATACTCGCCGAAAGTTGCACAGCAGGGCAGTGCGCGTTGAAAAGGATGAGAGAAAAGAGGGCTTTTCAAAGAAACCTGATCAACGGAGACCCGTTCCGCACCGTAATTTCAAAAAGGACCCGTCTCTTACGAAGGACAGTGTAGGGGAAAGGCAAACAGAAGCGGAGAAATCGAGTGAGGTTTCTACCACACAGGCATCTGAATCGGAAAACAAACGGAAGCCGCTAATCTGCTACAACTGTAAAAAGGAAGGGCACATCGCGAGAAACTGTCAGGAAAAGTTTGCCTTCGCAACGATCCGAGAATCAGAAAAAAACATTCGGTTGTTGGAGCCGTATCTCCAAGAAATTAGGGTCAATGAGAAAACGTGCCGAGCACTTAGAGACTCAGCGGCAACCATGGACGTTGTCCATCCTTCATTGGTGTCTCCGGATGACTTCACAGGAGAATGCGCGTGGATCAGGCAGGTCGCCGAGGAGCAGAGTGTTCGCTTACCAATCGCCACGGTTGTCATTAAAGGCCCGTTCGGTGAGCTTCGCACCGAAGCGGCTGTGTCTGCCGCGCTAAATGATCGTTTTCCATATCTTTTCTCCAACAACTCTGAGCAGCTTCTCAAAGAGCAGGGCAAATCGTTCTTCCCCAACTTAGCGTGCATGGCCCTCACGCGATCGCAAGCGCGAAAGCTTTCGCAGGAGCTTGATCTGGTTCAATGCGGTGAACGCTCAGGTGACCTTGTCGGCGGGTCGACGGAACCTCAGAGAGGAAATTTTCCGCGTGAGTCATGTGAGCAGTCACGCGAGCGGCCCGTCGCGGAAGCGGCCGGCGCGGTATGCGTTGGGGGAGACGACATGGCGCCATTGAATCAGAGCGAGGGGGCTGCAACGCTCTCGCCTGTAGCGGAAAGTTGGAGCGAGCTGCCGAGAGTTGATCGAGAGACGCTCATTCGAGAGCAGCGTGAGGACCTCTCGATTGAAGCGCTAGTGGAAAGCCAGGTTGAAACGCTAGTGGAAAGCCAGATTGAGGCGCTAGTGGAAAGCCACAAAAACGCAGCACAAGTGCTGTCGAAGGAGCACTACGAGAAATCGGTGAAGAAGCGCGTTTTTGAAGTTGATAATCAGGTAATGCGGCTGCAGCCGTCCAAGAGGAACAAGCTTGAGGTTGATTGGGAAGGGCCCGCAAAAGTAGTATCGAAGCTTTCTGATACCAATTGTGAAGAGAAATTAGGAAGGCGGCCGAACAAAATTTATCACAGTAACTTGAAAGCAGTCGTAAATTTACTCTTAAGTGCTTCAGAGGAAGAGGAAGCAGAAATCTTTAGTTCTAGTGAGGTAATCGAAAGGAGATCGAAAGTAATCTGGGAGCAGATAAACCTAGAGCCTAGCTTAAGTGAAAGAGGACCTGAGAAAGAGGACCTGAGAAAGATTGGTCCCGAGTTTGAAGACGTGTTTTCGGACTGCCCCGGAAACATGAGGGTGATCGAACACGATATCGAGCTAAGCGGTGAGGAGTCAATCCGTAGCAAGCCGTATCGTTGTTCCCATGGGCAACGTCGAAAGTGTGAGCCGCTCTTGGTGCCGCATAGGTATCGTCGCCTAAAAGTGGCCGGTTACTGAAGTGGAGCATGTTGCTCCACAGCGCAACTTTGACGTTCGCTAAAGAAAAAAAAAGGAAAGGTAAACGTTAATGCAGGTGCATTGAGCAGTGCGTTTAGTTAGTACCTTCTCAACCTTTCGGTTTCTGGCTGGCGATTCGGGGCAAAATTTTGACCTCATCACGACCTGGGCTGAGCGCTCTCGTTCAGAGTGATCTCAAGGGGCCAACTTTGTGGTATTCTAATTTGTTACGTTGTTGTACGTGGGAAAAAAAATTGAGTTGTCATTTTAAGAGTCTTTTGTTCCACATGTGCCTCTTGATGTAGAGGGAACAAAATTCCGATAAACACGTAGATAGGTATATGTTGTATTATGCTGTGTCTGGTGTTCTGTCGGGTGACCGAGGGCACTTGCTTGTGTCGTGTGTTGTCTGTTGTCGAACCGTTCTTAGCAAGTTGCAGAACCATCGACAAGTGCTGAAACCGAAGATGGTCAGAAGAGACGAGTGAAGCTGGTCGACAAGTTGTGGCGACAAGCCAGTGGAGCTGGGATCCGTCGTCAAAAATGGGATGTGTTCCCGGAACAGTTTGGAGCTGTATTCTCCCTATGGCCCTGGAGGCGAACCTGGAGGGACCTGGCGAACGAGCGCACCTGACATCCGAGCCCCGTGGAAGCAGCTCGTCTTTCCGGTGCATTGTCTGGCGGCGGGGGTGCTGTTATGCCAGCGAGTCCTCGTCAAACGACCGTGCCTCTGAAAAAGGCAATCTGGGTCAAGGCCAGCCCGCAGTCTGCCTGGCGCGATCACCTCGACGGCGTGAACACGCGCGGCGCTTCTCTCGCCCACGTGCACTGAGTCAGCGGCGCACGTGACAGCGAGCCGGCGTTCTCGTGTCTGGTGGTCTGACGCATGGCGCGGCAACCCCATTGGAAGAATCTGCGCTGACGACCAGCGGCGCTTCTGATTGGACATTTTGGTTGGACCCGGTGTAAATAAAAGAAGCCCTGCGGCGCGTCGCGATCGGAGGTCCTAGGAGAGGAGTCCCCGTGTCGGAGGGCCGACATGTGTGTGAGTCAGCGATCTTAGGCGAAAGGCTGACCTATGTGTTAGAGAGGAGAGCTCGGCTCTTCGAGTCTCTGTCGGCCCCAGTGCCGAAATTGTAACGCCTCTGTATATATGCTGTACATAAACCTTGTTTAACTCACCGTCGTCTCGTCCGCTCGTCTTATCAGCTCTGCGCAGAAGCAGTCGCGAGCTGAGAAACATACGCTACCAAACGGCTGGTGACCTTCCCGGCGGAGTTGAAAGCAGTGGCGCCTTCGGGGCCGTGTTGGCGTCGCCGTCTTTCGCAACAGTGGTGGCTTCGGCGGGATCGGTCCGTCGTTCGCAACATTGCAGAAATCTTTCGCAGGGCGGTGTTGGAGGCTCAAGATTAGTGAAGCTTGCACTAATTTGCACACGAAGTGGGGGGGAGGGGCACGTTTCAGCTTCTTCTGTTAATGTTTCGGTTGTCTTGTTGACCGATGGAACGACAAAACGACAAATCGACGAGATCAGACTGACAAAATTGCAGAGTTACAAAACGACTGGCCTTGTTAGCGAACGGGTTGTGTACTCCCTTCTCGTCCTTGTGTCACTTTGCATGAAATATTGCCTGATTCTCTTGTTAATCACCTGCACAGAATGACTGGGTGGTGTTTGAGTGGGTGCCGATCATAACGATGATTTTCGTCATCGCTCGATTTCTCGCCAACCAAAGTATCTTGCAGCAGCGGATGTGGCGTTCTTTGTATCGTGGAAGATGAGTTCATTAATACGAGAAAGAAATGGGGCAGCTACGTCTTGGCGGTGCGAAGACTGTACAAATCAAGCAACTGGTTCCTCGCTCTGGCTCCTCCTCACGCTCGTCCCATTTTCTCGCCTTTTGCTCTTCGATATCACGCGTAACTATATTATCCTCCACCCTCTTCCTTTCCTTCCTTCTCACGCTCACACGACTTTTCAGCCCACCTCTTTCCTACTCGCTTGCACTGAATGGACTATACAAGGTTATGTTAACGTTTATCGATCTGTCCTTTTGTCAGTCTGTCGTACTGTCGGACTGTCTGGCGGTCTGTCATTTCGTCGGTCTGTCTTCTTGTCGGTCTGTCGTACTGTCTTGCTGTGTGGGGGGTGTGACGGAAAGTGCTTAACTAAGGTATGCAAAAACTCATCGAACATACAATGTTACGTGTGTTTTTCATGCCAGGGAAGGAATTTAACTAGTGTAATAGAGGATTTTAGAAAAATAAAATGACTGCCAAGCGTCACTTAATGTCAACTGCATAATCAGTTTGTTGCTGATTGTTTCCTACCCACTGCAAAATAATCAGCTAGAATTATTCATCGCTATCAGGTGGGTTGCGGGTATAGTCTCTCCAAAAAATTACGAATATTGACAATGTGGACACTTTCCCATTACACAAAAATTTTCGTGATGTATGGCGAAGTTGGTACCTCGCAAATGTGCTGGTATTAGTTGCCAATGATTGACGTTAACATACGTTATTTAGCGTGGTTTAAAAGTAAAATAATGACTGGGCATTATACCATACAAATTATGTAACTTATGGGTCTTTTAAAGCATTAAACGCATTGCAAAGCATTCTATCACAATTCAGCTATAGCGGGGTCTCCTGTCCTGTTAAGCTTCTGCCACTTGTGGACCATAATAAAGCACCTCCCTCATTCACTCACTCACTCACTCACTCTGTGTTATCAACCACCTCATCAAGAGTGCACATGATGCCTTAGATATCTGTAGCGGGTACCTCGCTTCTCTGCAGAATAATTAGCGATGACTTAGTTGGTGCTTCCCAAATATCAAGAAAGTTGTGTTGATTTATGGCGATGCGGTGCCGTGCACGTTTATTCGTAGCAGTTGCGCAAAGAACTTCTGAAACGTGCTCTAAGAAAACCGTTCTCCCCGTTCTCGTCGTGACTATTGCGCGTTTTGCGCAGACTCGTGGTTTTTAAATGCAAATCATTTCTTTGCGTACTGCAAGCACTTCTGACGTCTATCTGCGTATCTGTCTAGCCACTTTACGTGTCAGTGCTCTCGTGATCACCCTCTTAACTTGGCGTGAACCAAAGTTTGTATGGGAGGGTACGATGGTTTGACGAATATGACGCGCTAGCCAAGACAAGAATAATGTCACAGTACCATCGCGCACGGCGTCAAACACTTCCCGCGCGACAGTGGCGCATACCCGTGAATGAGTATGTGCCACCAGTATGCGGGTTCGTGCCACATACACGACTTTTCTCGCCAAACACTTGATGTTGACACTTGATATCTATCCGGGTACAACGAGAACATGGTCAATTTTAACGCGTGAGCGTTAAAAAAAAACGCGACATCGCCAGCGTTGACCCGACGAACGCAAATGATAAATGTCGGGGTCACAGCAGGAATCAAACCCAAGCATTATGCGTGGCATCGAAGCATTCTACCGCAGTGCCGGGTCTCGAAACTACTTGTGAAATTCACCTTAATGTTCGTGAAACGTGAATTGGGGTTGCAGTGCTTGCTACAAAATTTTACAAACATTGCATATGCACTCCTATATATGATACAGCCGTCACGTCCGGTTGACGTCACTTGTGTTTTGATGCCATCCGCTGCTCCTCGCGAGCATCAGCGCTTCATATCTGCATATTGCTTCTGGTGATGCTAACAGTTATGCTACTGTTGGCATCATTGCGCCAGTGCAAATTACTGCTTACGTATACACCTGCGACAGTTCAACATGTCAGTGCGTGCAAAATTTATACATATATTTAGCATCATTTCATAACATGGCCCTCAGTGAAAAAATTATAACATGGTCACTTTCCCACCGCATGCTTGGCATAACTTTGATTTCCAAGGTACGTGGGCTCGGCAGAGTTCTTTATTTTTTTTCTCTGGTGTTCCTTTAGGGAGACTGGAAGTTGGGTAAGCCTATACAGATTCATTGTGACGCCGGCTGTTTTTCGGTTTTTTTTTCTTACTGGTAACAAGGACAGTAGGATATTGCTAACCTCCACAAGCAAGCGATGAGTTTTACATTGCGATCTCTTACACAACTTGGCGAGGTATGGGTGGCTGTCTGTGTGAATGGCGTCCACAAATTCGGCGTCCGAGGGGTCCAGGCGCACTTCAGGAGGCATCTTCTGAAAGTTCGGCTCAGCAGGATCTAGACCTGCGCGAGAACCAAAACCGGGAAAAGGTTTGACTATATTTGTGGCACGAGCTACGGGGTTCTTGTTTATCTTTCAAGAACTTCCGGTCGAAAGCTTATTTCTGGCTTTGTGAATACTCAGAATATCTGTAAAAAAAAGGAAATGGGCACCAGATTGATGGTTTTTATCGTCACTACGCAAATCTTCGCATCGTCACTACCCATCACATAGATGACGTCGTGACTGCGCGTCATTTACATACCGCTTGATCGGCGCAACAAAAGGTTTGTCGGTCACGGTGACACTAAAAGGGCAGAAATCGCACAGTCGTTAAAATGGGGTAGATTGCTTCATTCGTTATCAAAGAAAAACTTGAAGAAAGACTTGTGCTGCATAAGTGGTACAGAAAAGTCACGGAAAGCAGCGCGAAGTTTCCCCAACCTTTGTTTAACATGTAGACTATAAACTACCCCCACATGTAGAAGTGCTTTTCTGGTAGAACATTACATCGTTCAATTGGCAAATAAATCAGCTGTTCAGTGACTCATTGGAGCCGATTATATCTAGTCCACCTCCAATATAAATATAGTAGCAGCCCAACAGACGGCCATATCGTGTTTACATTTGCGTGCTCACCCGTGATTCTCCCTAGATTGGTGGTGTTGGCGCCCGCGTAACCAGCCACATGCGCACCCAAGCTGTGTCCGATTATGTGCATCATTCGTGGGTCAGCACCAAAGGCCTCCTGCAAATCAGCAGCACATCGAATCACTTTGCGCTAATGCCTATACATGACGATCACAAACAGGACGCAATTAAGGTAAAAATATATCGGGTGTCCTAAGAAAGACAAAATTCAAAAGCTTCAAGATCATGGAATTGCATTAGCTCATTAATCACGGCAGTTTTTTTTTTTTTTGTAAATCAAGATGATACGCATTTTGAATAGATTATAAAGGAAGTAGGGTCAGTGGCCCCGCAGCGGTGGTCTAGTGGCTGAAGTACTCGGCTGCTGACCCGCAGATCGTGGGATCGAATCCCGGCAGCGGCGGCTGCATTTCCGATCGAAGCGAGAATGCTGTAGGCCCTTGTGCTCACATTGGGGCGCACGTTAGAGAACCCCATGCGGTCGAATTTTCGGGAGCCCTCCATTACGGCGTCTCTCATAATCATATGGTGGTTTTGGGACGTTAAACCCCACATGTCAGTCAATAAAGTAGCGTCAGTGAGCGAATTTGAACTCCTTCGTGCGTAGAGCCCGTAGCTACCTTGAGATCCCCCCCCCGGTGAAGGGTAACAAACCTAGTACTCGTCTGGTTGACATACCTGCCCTTCCTTTTCCTTCTATGATTCTCGTCCCTAATCAACCAGTAGAAATTATTGTAGACTAATGAAGTTCTACACAACACTGACAAAATATAGCTAATAAAGCTTTTGAAGTTATTCGATAAGCGTAAAGTAGCCCACATCAGAAGGTATAACATGCAGAGAACCAAACAAGCTGTAAAAAGCGCCAGAAGTCTAAACGCTGCGAAGGCAAACTTGTGCATAGGCAAAAATCGTATGTATGCATTAAGAGACAAGGAATGCAATGTCTTAATCAATATCGACACGATAGTTGAAGTGGTGGAGGAGTTCTACAGAGCGCTCTACAGAAGCCAAAACAACCAGGATGATATGGTACGAAGTAATGATAGCGTATAGGAATTCGCCATCCTACAAGTAACGACAGGTGAAGTAAGGAAAGCCCTAGGAGGAGTAGAAAGAGGCAAAGCCCTTGGTCACGATAAGGTAACAACATACTTACTGAAAGATGGCGGAGAAATTGTGTTAAACTGGCCAGCTTATATACGAAGTGTCTCTTGACGAGAAGGGTACGATGATCTTGGAAGAACGCCAACATAATCTTAATCCATTTGAAAAGGAGACGTCAAGGACTTAAAAAGTCACAGGCCAATAATTTTACTGTCCGTGCTCTGCAAACTATTTAAAAAACTGATAGCTAATAGAATCAAGGCGACATCAGAGCTCTGTCAACCAAAGGACGGAGCAGGATTTCGCACAGAATACTCCGCAATTGACCGTATTTATGCTATAAATCAGGTGATCGAGATATGCGAGAAGGCGTTTGACTCAGTCTAGACATCAGCAGGCACTTCAGAATCAGGGTATCGACGAACCTCGCATGAACATACTGGAAGAAATCTACAGTGGCTCCACAGCTACCATTGTTCTCCATAAAGAAAGCGACAGAATCCCAATGAAGAACAGCTGGTAATCGAGGGTAACTGACTGAATTTCCAGTCTTGAACAGCTGAAGCACGAAAAAGGGTAACAACGGACCAAGAGAACAACGCTTGTCCCCGTTGTTCTTAGTCTGTTGTTACCTTTTTTTTTGCGCGTCAGCTGTTTAGGACATGGAATGCCAACTAGCCTGCTCCCAGACCTTGCTTCAGTGGATTCCCAGAGAAGACAAACGCATGAGGAGGAGACAGAGTTAATGGGCCGACGAGACTAAAAAGTTCGCAGGTGTAACGTGTCAGCAGAAAGCTCGAGATCGGGTTGCTTGGCGGATCATGCCTTTGCCAAGCAGAGGGCGTAGTCGGGCTGATGATGATGATACACTAGTGGTGGCAAGCCTGAAGGCAGTGCGTAGCCGGGCAACCTTTTTTTGCTTCTCTTCGGTCTGCTGTTTGTTTCCTGCTTTCTTTCTTTTTGTCTTTTCCAGATTTATTTCAGACTTTTTTCTCTTTATTTCTGTCTATATAATCATTAAGGCGAAGACTTCTTTTAAGTGCGAGCGACTGCTCGATAGCGTGTGTGGTTTTGCCTGTGTTACGCCAAGGTACGGCAGCATACAACGACGATAGCATACAGCAGCGCGGCCTCGCTAAAGTGCTTTGCACTTAAAATTCAGAGCAATCATTGTGCAACGAGACTGACGCCTACTGTGTAGCCAGAACACGTGATCGAAGCGTTGGAGCACGCGATATGTCTTGGCACTTCCGGTTAAATGTGTGCGGTTTACGTGCAAAATTGGTATAATTGAGGCACACCGTAGCGAAGGGCTCCAGCAATTGTGCCGCCTGGAGTTCTTCGACGTGCACCTAAATGTAATCATACTGGCCCCTAGCGTTTCGCCTCCATCAGAATGGGAACGCCACGGCCCAGGTCAAAGCCATGACTCTCGAGTCAGCAGCCAAGCACCATGTATATACCACCACTAGCGCCAGTACTCTCAATAATGTTTCTGTTCTCTTTTCGTTTCCAACCTCGTCTATGAGGTGGCTGAACAAGCGCGCATCGGTTGAAATCTGCCAGGCGCTAAGGTCCGAAGGGTCGGCAAGTCTCACTCGCGCCATCCCCACGAAAAAGCTCGCTTATTGAGCGTACGCCGCCGACTCCCCGGACTACGCGACCGCTTATAAGCGTGCAATGGACAAGGCCACATGTACCCAAACGTTGCCCTTCACTTCTCTCTTTCTTCTCTTTTAATCCCCTCGCCCCTTCCCCCAGTGCAGGGTAGCAAACCGGACGTGCGTCTGGTTGACTTCCCTGCCTTTAATTTCTTCCCTTCCTACTCCTCCCTGTTTCTAAGACAGGCTTCGTGACCTACTGCTACGTCATAAACTTTCTTTCCTTCTTCCTGCATGCCGCTTCAGCGGCGGGCTGTATAAATGTATTTTTTGATTGTGTAGACCTGAATTTCGTGAATATGTTTGACAAAAATAAGCCACGGACCGAAATGCACTGCGGGTGTAGCTTCCGTTTCCCTCCATGATTCTCAGCAGTTATCCTTTAGTGCATGAGAAGTGGGAGCCCACCTTCAGTTTCCTGATGAAGAGCGCCAACTCGGCGCCTACTATCCTCGCGTTTGCGCATGCGCTGTCGTAGATGCCCACGTTGGCGTGGCTCCAGTCGACAATGACGACGTTCACGTCCGCGCTGTTCAAGTAAGCGTCCTTCATCTCCTGCAACCAAGAGTGACATCACGAATGACGTTAAGTACAAAAAGAAACCGTAGAGCAATATAAATATCTTTGGAGTAAGTATACAATTGATTGATATGTTGGGTTTAACGTCCCAAAACCAGCATATGATTGAGAGATGCCGTAGTGGAAGGCTCCGGAAATTTCCACTACCTGGGGTTCTTTAACGTGCACCAAAATCGAAGTATACGACAAAAAAAGTATACAACAAACAGAGAAGAAACATAAGAGATCGCTTCCGCCTTCCAGCTGAGTTCTTAGGCGGATGTATGCGAAACCCTGTGACTTCAATTGTTTATTCACTTGCATGTGGAAATATAGGAAGGTAGACTTTGTTAGAAGCAGCCATTCCAACAGAATGCAAGTGCAACAGAATGCAACAGAATCATCAATCAAGCAAGATAGAAGAGGAGGAGAAAAATATAATAGAGGAATACAGTGAATTGATCATGTTGGTACTGGCTCATAATAGGGAGTTTTAGTTTGTACGTATACTTCTTTACGTTACCGTGTTACCGGATACCGGATAGAATCTGCGCATGCGCGAGTCTTTACGGAACGTGAACCTTTACGTAACGTAAACTACTCGCCGGATAGGCTTTACGTTCACGGCCCGGAGCAAGCCACCGAGTCAAGACAAGCCGAAGCAGAAGCGCCAACGGCGAACACGTTGTTTACATTCGCTCTGTCATCAGCGGAATCGATGTCTGGGCGCAAGCGATTTACTCTCAGCGATGACATCGCTCTAGTAAAGGAGGTATTATATGTAAATCCTTTCCTTGACCCTGCGAGGTCCTTTCCTTGACATCGAGGAAAAAGTTAAGAAACGCAAGTGACCTGACATACCACTATAAACTGAAGTTGTTCATGTAAGTGTCCACCGTGGTGGTGTAGCAATTAACGTGCTCGGCTGCTCACCTGCAGGTCGCGTGGTTGATTTCGGTCGCGGCGGTCTCATTTTGATGAGACGAAGTGCTAAAGGTCCATGTACTGTGCGATGGCACACAGATGTTCGAAATTTCCGGAGCCCTCCACTACGGCTTTTATCGAAATCATATCGTAGCTTTAGGACGTGTAACCGCAGATATTAATGTTATTATTATAATTTCGTGATTGATCGTTTTATGCATCACAATGAAAAGCGTTGGCTTCCACGCTGACATGAATCAGTGTGGCGACACTAAGTGAAAGTGGTATGGGGTCAGTCAGTGTCAACAACTGTTACAAGGGCAGTAAAAGACTTCGCTACTAACACGGAGTTGAACTCCAGACTGTACCAAAACCAGAGTGTTACGTGGTTATTGTATATACGCCGCACTCTTTCCTCTTTCTACCATCACCCTCCGTCAGCTCTGTTTCTTTTCCATTTCCATTCTCACCTGTGCTAACTAGCAGGTTCAAGTGCACTGGCTCAAGTCAATATCTTTGCCTTTTAATAAGTTCTTTCTCTCTATATATGGGGGAAACCGGTCAGTATTTGAAAAAAAGGTTGAGGGAACACCAGTGCAATCCGACGGGGACCACTGTATTTTCTCACCATATGCGATTCCATGATAACGTAAACAATTTTGGCAATCTGTGACGTCATGGCGTCGTCATATTGTGACGTCATCGTGACACGCCGTCGGCATCAGTGATGCGAGAAACCATCATTACGTAACGACGCCCCCGTAATGACACCGTCATGACGCCACACGGCGCCGAAATTTTTGCGTCATCGTGACGGCAGTATATCACATCACATGTCCTAACATGATTACGTCATCACATGACATCGTCGCTTGGTCATAGGTGGGCCGATCACAGTCTGTGCAAAACCAGGTGAGGTGCAGAAAGTCTGCAATGCCACCGAGGCAGTGCAAAAAATTGAAGGACACATTGTAAATCGCAAAGTTAGTTTAGTGAAAGCCTGTGGTCAATCTACTAATTATGCCATGTCGTTTTCTTTTTCTTGTTTTTTTTTTGTGTTTCTCACTCTCTCGGCTATCGCGTGATTGATGAGAGGGTGCGCGAAGGTGAGTTCACAGCTGTGGTGGCGCAACTGTTGTTCTCTGCCACTGTGCCATCACGTGATTACTGAGAGGGTTCGCGGGGTAGAGGTTACAGCAGGCATCGTTCCAGGGCACGGACGGAGGAATGGTCGGACGCGGCGAGTATGAGCCATCAAAGGGCTTTCGTCTTAAAACCATAAGTAATCTTAGGGCACGACAGCTTTCGGTCGTGGGTGGGGAGGATAAGTACAACGGCTTAGAAGAAAAATGAGAAGAAAATTGTTTTCGCTTTGGAGTCGCTTTATACAAATGTATAATAGACCCTGTGAGTTTATAGATATAATTGCGCAATGATTTCATTGTTTTTTTATCCACCTATGCCGAACATCGCGATAAAGTTCACTCTGAGGACCAGACCCAGGTGGGAAACAAAGAGGTATAGCAACATACTGTTTACGTTCTAACATCCATAAACAATGACGTGCAACACTTTCTTCCCTCTGTCCCCGTTGCTTAATGTTACAGAACACAATCGACGAGCCGTTAATTCATCATATCACTGTCCTTGTATCACTGCGCACAAGCTGATAAAGATGTGCAATCGGAATGTTCACGCCACCCATCACTCGTTCGATACGTATTCGTTGCTACATAAGATAGCGCCGTGGGCCGACGTCAATCTACGAACAATTTTTTATTGGAACTTTGGGTGCCATGCTGGGCATGTTGGGCTCTTACACGAATGGTTTCTTAGTTTTGAAGGTCGTTCGCAAAATCAAGTGCCATGAAGCAGAACAACTTTGAAGGCTTTCTTTGTGTACCACTTCGTTAATGAAAACTAGCAGATAATGAAGCTAAGGGATGTATATTGTATGGTAATACTACTGGGCTGAGTATGAATGAAAGTACAAATTTAAGGGCTTCTTTCTTGGTAAACACAATAATAATGGATACGAACAGGCAATGATGCCAGGGGAAGTATAGGGGATGGTATTAGAATTGTAATGTAAATGTGAAAACAAAATGGACAAAAAAAACTTGCCCCAGGGAGCATCTGAAGCTGGGACCTTTTAATAACGTGTTCATACGCTGTCTAAAATGTATTTTAGTAATTGCGATTAGATGTGAAGAAAATCTATGTCCCAATTACGCTGCACTTAAGACAGTAGAATTTCTATTCTCCATACATTCATTGGCTTAGGGTTTGTGTGAACGCCTCTGACTTGCGGTGGCGTTCTACATCGCTGCAGCGAATTCACTGCCTTTCTCTCTTTTCCCGCTCACCTTTTTTCTCTTCTTTTTCTCATCTTTCTATTACCCTTCTATAATTCACCGCTGTACGCTAGCCAACCGGAAGTCCGTCTAGTTGTTATGCTCCCAGCGGATCGTTGCATGCTAATTTCCCACAACTCTCATTGTGAGAAATGTGAACCACCATGAGAGAAAGTGAATCCGCAAACCGTCATCCAGGCACCGAAGAACAATCGGTCCAAGTAGCCGTGTACGATGAACTTTGTTTCCAGGGATCTGTTGAAAGGCACCGCACCAACCGCTTCCACGCTCGAGTTCCACCAGAGATCTACGAAGCCCGGCCGGTTGCGTCGGTTATAGAAGAGGAACCTGGTGTTCGCCACGTGACGCTCCACCGGCACCAGGTTGCGGGGACGGTGGACGGGGTGGTGGAAAACGCCATCCGTGTCCATGCAGCCAAGCTCGCCGTAGCATTTCACCACGGCGCGCACTGCAGGGACCAGAGTTTCCAACATTGCGAGGTGTTTCTAAAATATATGTTCCCGAGACGCCGGATGATAGAATAATTCATGATGAAACAACCGCTGAAAATACACACACTCAGAGAGGACACAGACAAGTGCTTACTAGCAACTGAAAATTTTGAGACAAGCGCTTGTCTGTGTCCTCTCTGAGTGTGTGTATTTTTAGCGCTTGTTTCATCATGAACGTTTACCAACACGCCCAACTGGCAGTCACCCTAGAATACACATGATCGCTTTTCAAGTTGGTTTTCATTGCCGAGAGATACGTTCTTGTTGTTTCAGTTGTTTGATATCGAAACTTACCGTCATCGCCATTGTCATCATCATTGTCAGGCCCCTTTAGTTCACTGCAGAGTGAAGGTCTCTCCCAATGGTCTCCGATTTATATCCTGTGCCGTTTGATTCTATTTGATCTCTGCAAACTTCTTGATTTCGTCACTACATCTAACTTTCTGCCTTCCCCGACAGGGCTTTCCATACATTGATAAACAATTCCGTAGCGCTCACATTCCACTCCTTGTCTCTTGTACGAATCACGTGAACAGTCCTGCACGATTTCTTTCGCATGAAAAATATCCGCATACCCTTGTTTTGAAACTAACGCAATTTGCCGTTCTCCGACCTCTTAATGTTACTCCTATTATTTTGTCTCCCAATGCTCGCTGCGTGGCCCTCAGTTTTCTCTTCAGTTGCTTTATCTTCTATGCTTTGGTCATACACGGACATAAGGGCATAAGAAGCACCATGAAGAATTGGGGATGTAGCGAGTGGCCATCTGCGCCTGCTTCCGGGGGTACAAGAGTAACACCCTTTCTTCCCTCCCTAAGTTTTCGGGAGAAGGATGTTGCAGACGAAGATGGGAATTACAAGAAGAGAAACTGTTCATTAGCCATATCAACAGATGCCGGAAAATAGAGAAGTAATGTAGTGATACGAAAATGAGTTCGACAAACTGAACTCAGTTTTATGAAGTGCAATCGGGCCCCGATCGCATCACCCAATTTTCGACACAGAGAGGCGGGTATATCGCCAATGACTAGCCTGGATTCATTTCTCGGGGGACAACTCGACCGTGCTGCAAGGAACGAAACGCCTGTGCGCATTACACAGGCAATTTCATGTTATTCTAGAATGCCTACTGCTAGTAAGGTTGTAAGTTGCACCATAATTCTTGATTTTACAATTTCACAAAGTACCCAGTGAACGTTCATAAGGCAGCGCCTGTGCAGGTGCCCACATTGTTGATGCTGATGATTATTTCTGCCTGAGCACTTTGTTATGAGTGGGCCTTTACACCAACCACCCGTAGAACAACTCCTACATGTTCACCCCTCGTGGAGATCTACGCCACTGCCATGCAGTGTTTCACGTGTAAGTAACACTCCTGACGCTACAAAACATTCGTGTAGTCCTTCTCCGAAGCAATTTTGAGCGTCGGTATGACCTGCTTGCCACACAGAAGACCTCGGTTCGTTTCCCTACTCAAGCCGATTATTATTTATTTTATTTGCATCAATTTCAATTTTTCGCTCACGCACAACGCTTGATTTTCGTTCCCAAGCAACGACGCCGACCCCCATATCGAAATTCCTACCAAACAAGCTCTTTCTCGTTAGTTAGTCAACAAAACCTGATCAGCTGGCAGCGTCGAGAAGCACACACCCAAGCTCTCTAAAACAAGCAATGGTGGAGGGCCGTACACGTTAGTCTGAAAAGACCATAACTATTATATTGCTGTATAAGCTTGGGTGAATTGTTGATGCGAATCTTGTACAGCACGAAAAAAAAAACGTGGGACGCAGAGCTGTAAATGGTCGGAAGGGGGCACGTACAAATTCATTGCGCGAAAGAATGCTTAGATAAGAGGAAGTTTGCTGTGGAAGTGTTGCTCATGGAAACACATCTTGTTTAGCTAGTGCTGACAAGTTCAGGTCTCCAAAAACATGCAGCAATGTGCCTGGTTTATATTTACTTCTGTGGCAGGGTTAATTAGTGGGCAGCTCTGAAGAGTGTTGCCCGCTTGAATAATTACCGAAGTACACGTATTCCTCGCGCTTAGCTTGAAATGGAACTACAGGTTGATTTCAAGCACAAATAGAGAGACGCTCGCATTTCCTTTGACACGTACCTCTTCCGACGAGGAGTGTGGAACAGCAAAAAAGCAAGGCGGCCGCTGTCGGCGACATACCACGATTCGGATCCTCTGCTGCCAATAACACAACGGTTTGGATGATTGCGAGTGCATCTCGGAGTCTACGCACCCTCGTAATATGAGCACTGAGCCACACCTCTAGCGACAATCGCCCTTGATGATATCGCCTTTGTTCTGCGATAATAATTCCTAGAAGAGAGGTGAACAACGGGAAGATGACGTCATATGGATTTTATCGTAGCTCACGCGAGTTCTGAGAACCACGCGTGTACATAAAGCCTTAAGACTGTACTCCTCCCCCCCCCCCATCCTCAATCCTACCATTCTAATTTATATCTATTCGATTGTACATTGTTGCACACAAAAAGTAAGAACAAAGGGAAGTGAAGCGTTGGAAGTGGCTCCTTCCGCATGGGACAGCAGCTGTCGTGCAAGCCATAATTACAAACCGGAACTCTTGCTTCGAAAAACAGGTTCTGATAAAACCGCACCTAATAAGACTGATATCAACATTATAATTTAATTGTATTGCTCACAGCATTCCTTTGTTTTCAAGGCACGTTGATGCTAGTGGAGGGGTATCACCAGACCACCGGATAATGAGGGTACAGTTCTTGTGTATGAAGAATATACTGCCCTCATATGTAATCGCTAATAGGCAGGTGATATTTTACTTTCACTCCTTTTTTGGCGTGCGTGCTCTAATGCAATGCGTTCCTCATATGTCATATCGTCGTGATTAAGTGCGAAAGAGCTGTGCCATAAAACCTTCGATGGAGCAGCTGGTATTGCATTGACGGTTAGAGAAAATTGAATATAGCGTATCTATTGCGCAGTGTACTGCACCGCAATCTATACCGCCTCATGCTGGCGTCGATCAGCGCTTGCATTGAATACAGGTTTACTGATAGCTAGAAACACCACCGAAGGCAGGAGGAAGAATGCACGTCATAAATACTTTTGTGGGGCGTGGTCGATTTAGTGAAGCCTGTGTTTAAAAAAAATTATTAACGATTTAGGGTACATGGTACTCTACTATGGGAGAGCATAAAGCCGTCCCGTGGGCACCATGTATACTTGATAAGTCCGCGTGGGCAAAAATTATGCCCGAAGAGGAAAATATATAACAGACTTAAGGCAAATAGTGGTTTTCTAAACGGGGGGGGGGGGGGGGGGGGGAATAGAGAAAACGGTTGACTTTGAGTACTTGGTACTATACTGTGTGAGAGCACAAAGCCGTCCCGCGGGGGGGGGGGGGGGGGGGGGAATAGAGAAAACGGTTGACTTTGAGTACTTGGTACTATACTGTGTGAGAGCACAAAGCCGTCCCGCGGGCCTCAAACTTGGACGTATGTGCCGTCTATACTGTGACGTCGTTTAAGAGAATTTTATTTCCGGATATATCTTACGCAGCTTATGTGCACACAGAAAAATGGACAATGGGGATGAATGCGTATGTACACTGCAAGCTGTTATATACAGCGAAAAGAACTTATTGCGTATGCAGTGACGTACGATGCAAAATTGTACAACAAGGACAGGACATTCATGACATCGAGATGATTAAACTTAAATAAACAGTAAGGCTATGTGAACAAACAAGGGGGGGGGGGGGAATCGTTCACACTGTAGGGTGATGTTTTGCATTCACCTGTGGGGACAGTTTGCTCTCACGCTCAAGGACAATATTGCACAAAAAGAACATATGACGTCGTTGTTGCACATTTTAATTACAGCGGTGGATCTGCATGCGAAGAAACGCGGCTTGCAACAGTACAAAATGCGGCCCTTGAAAGTGTACTGGTTCCGTGCATGTCCGCAGGCGTCGTAGTCGAATAATGCTCTCTTGATCACGGGCCTATTGGCGATCAGCCCTTCCTGATACGGCAACCTGACCTTTTATTGAGGCTACTTGTCACTTGACGTTGCCACATTTCGCTGTTACCAGGATATGCACTCACGATCGCCGTTGTACCTGTAGCAACTGAAGTGTTGCTCTGCTAAGGACGTGGATGAAAACACAAATCCGAGCATGGAGGAAGGAAGCAGGATGGATCACTACACTATGTGATCCAAAGAAAGAGAGAAAGGGAATAAAAGATACGGACGGACATTTAAATTAAGTTATTTTTACGCAAGTATGCTGCAGAGTTCCAAAATTAAGTTACTTCATGCATACAGCTGTTCTGGCTCCTTCCCCTCATCGCTCATTGTGTAATAGGAGTGAAACAATCGAGCATTATTTTTTATTGTGTAGTCACTTTAGGTCACTGAGGAAAACGAATATTAAAGCGGCTTTTAATTGAATTAGATATCATTTTATTATTTCTAATACTCTCTTCTTGAGAGCCTCCTCATTAGGTCCTCGTCACTAGGATATCTGTTTTGCTGTAAAAAGATTCTTCATCGAATCAAGGCGGTTTTGATTGCAAGCCTCTTGATTATTAAAATTTATTTTCTTCTGGCCATTTTTATATTTCAGTAGATTTACAAGTAATATGCAATTCCCTCTACTCGTTTCTTGGCCAATATCTTAGAGTGAGTGTGAGCCATGCATTTAGGTCGTCGTCGTCGTCATCATCATCATCATCATCACCTCAATTCATCACTGCACCTCCCGGCTGCCCGAGCCACTCCCGACGACCGCATCTTGGCTGTTGATGGTCCGTGTAGCCAGTGGCACAGCAACAGGACAATCGGCCCGAGATACTGTACGCCATGTCCGACATATTCAAGGGCAAGTCGTTCATCAAGAAGGGCCATAAATCGTTTCCGGCCGACACGGTGCTGCGCGACAAGCAGCTGATCTGCCTGTACTTCGCCGCGCAGTGGTGTCCGCCGTGCCGCATGTTCACACCCGTGCTGGCGAACGTCTACAAGGACGCCAGGGAGGACAACCTGCCGATTGAGGTATATGTGAAGCGTGCTTATAAGCACCCCGTACGCTCTTGATATTCTTCAGTAGGGTACAACCTAAGAAAAAGAAAAAAAAACACTTCAAGTTCCACCCCCAAAAATTACAGTGGGCCTGACATTCATCTGCGCAAGATAGTCGTGATGAGCGGTTTCCGTTGTAACTAAGAGCTTGTAAATGATACGCACATTTAAAATGACTTTCTTGATTGATATGTGGAGTTTAACGTTCCAAAACAACCATATCATTACGAGAGAAGCCGTAGTAGAGTGCTCCGTAAATTTCGACCACCTGGGGTTGTTTAACGTGCGCCCAAATCTGAGCACACGGGCCTACAGCGTTTTCACCTCCGTCGAATAATGCAGCCGTCGCACATTTAAAATGAAAAGCTCGTCGTCACAGTAATGTAAATGATAATGTAAGTGTAAATTATATGCACATTTGAAATTAAAGACTTGTCGTCGCTCCTAAAAACGCACGCTTGGTTGAGCACTGATGTCCGCATCGTCGCTAAAATTTCCGTCAAGCCCTCGACGTAAAACCAGTGGCACGAACGTGTCTAAATGTAAAAGTCCTACGTGACATGTTTAGGCCTACGTGACACGTGATATGTGCTTGACATCATAAAAATGGGTCACTGCGAGTCCCGTAGTAAGTAGTATATAGTACCCTAAACTGCTAACGATTTGTTCTAAACAAGTGTAATTGTATGCGGTATCTATTAAAGTTTCGTGGGCGTGAGGCAGCAACGGCTTTGGGTGGGACAGCAACAGCTTGCACTCATTCTCAGGTCCTCACCGACTATAGTACCAATTACCTACCATCAAATTCAACATTACACGCAGAAATGCTGCACGCACGAAGTGGGACATAAATGTAAGCGGTGAATGCCTTGCCGTAATCTGTTCCGCCGGTCGAGCTTCTTGCCTCTCGATACATTACTCCTAACAGTTTCCCTTGGCGTCACAGACGTGTGCAGGGTTCCCCATTGGTGGGATCTAACTTCCACAGCAGCGCATCTCCCCCCCCCCCCCACCTTCCAACCACTTTTGGACAAATCTGAAAATAAGCCTCGCAATCAATAAAAAAAGTGAAACAGTGAAACAGTAAGTGAAACAGCTGCTCACAACAACCTGCATTCGTCCCCCGCATTAACGCTTAAGGTGGAAAGAAAACCACTTTTGAAAGACAATCTCAACAGTCTTCGAACGCCCTTATCACAAAAAAATTTAAAAATTTCCGGCCCGGCAGGTGCCTATTGCCTTAGCCCTCATTCATTCGGGCAGTTTTAGTCTTTGGTGACTCTCGTTCTGCGATAAAAGCCTTCTCGAGGGGAGTTGTTACAGAACCGGCTTTCAGACTGCTGCGGGATAAGGATATCACTACGTATACAATTCCTTGGTTTCCGGCGCACATGGGGTCAGTTGAGGGAGCCCCGGGTAACCTCAACGAGGTGGCCCACGAGGAGGCACGAAGATTAGTGTGCCGTGCAATCCCTGAGGTGGTTGAGTCTCCTGCTCTTGATTGATTGATATGTGGGGTTTAACGTCCCAAAACCACTCTATGATTATGAGAGACGCCGTAGTGGAGGGCTCCGGAAATTTAGACCACCTGGGGTTCTTTAACGTGCACTCCTGCTCTTGAGATTAGGGACCTGCTGTTAACGTACAGTGAAATAACCAAACATCATTACTTAGTGCGCCAACAATTCCCCTTGCCACATTCTCGACTAAACAGGCTACAGGCGGTTACATTAAGACTCCTGCAGACGCAGACGTATCATAACCCGGTCGTCGTGAATAGAATTACTCTGGTCTGCGGGGTTTCGACCTGTTGTAGTAAGTGCGGGGGCCTACTCGTATTTGACCACATGCTCTGGCGCTGCTCGGCATATACCAGTGAAGCTTCTCACGGTGAACAGTGGTGATAGCGAATACTGCAAACTGACGTGCTGGCGGACCTACTCAGGGCTGTCCAGAGGGCTCGTGTGGCGGTCGAGGGGCTTGGCCTCTCTGTCCCGGCGTGAAAGCAGCCAACATGAGTCTTGACTGATCCTCAGGACCTTCATGAAGTTATTCACACCATACCATACCTTGCACCATGAACCATTTCGGGGGCAGGTCTGACTGCCCAACGATATATATATATATATATATATATATATATATATATATATATATATATATATATATATATATATATCGGCGCCTCCTTGCACCCTTTTTACACAGGCAGCATAAACTGCGGTTAACGTGACCACGCTTACGTCTAACCGAAGTTCGCTTATGTTACGCGGTACATGAAACCGCGGACGTTGTCAACCGAGCTTGACAGCCTCAGCCTGGTGGTTAACCGAGAAAATAGCGACGTCTATGAAGGACGGGCTATAGGCACCCTAACCTAAGATGCTTTTGCGCTGTGTAACACCGTGGTTAAACGTGGTTAACAATGGTTTGTCGTAACCGTGATTAGCTTGTCTATGTAACGAAGGTATTAAATGCCAGAAGTAAAGGGTCCAACCCACCGCCCCTTACTTTATGTGCGCGCCTGATGAGGGGGTCGTTAACCAGGAATTTGTTTACCATGCATCGTCAGTTTCTGTGTGATAGCAGTAGTAATGGTCTTACTTGTTTACTCGTCCCACTTGGGGCTAGGTCGTGTTCATCTCGGCTGACCGGAACGAGCAGGACATGCTCAACTACATGCGCGCCTCCCACGGCGACTGGTACGCTCTGCCTTTCGACGATCCGCTCCACGGGTGAGTCCGGCTCGAGGAATGGGCCAGGTCAAGTTCAGTGAATCGCAATACACCCGTTCTGACTTGTCACCCACAAAACTGTTATGTCACAGAGCTCTCGTGTTCTACGCGGAAGCATGTGTGCCCCCGCTTTTATGGTTCGTGACGTTGGCGTACGAGGCACGTTTAAATTATGGATAAATATTGCCAAGTATCGGCTAATGTTGGGCAAAGTATGGTTAGATTATCGGCAAAGTTCGCAATGCGCCTTCGTAAGACTAAACTAAATAGAAGAGACTCGCAGGGTGACTCATAGATTCACTTGAGGCAACTTGAAGGCAAACAATATGTTCTATATTTTTTCGCCGTCCATGTACTGACCCTCATGTGACGTCATTGCATGACGACTTCCCACGGTGACGTCACCATGCCACGGTGGTTTTTGCATCACTAATCTTCAAGCCAACGCCACTGATGGTGGATTCGGGCGTTTCATGACGCTTGTATGGACGTCACCTCAATACCGTTTTCGTTCCATCTAGTTCGAATTAGCTCTTTGCCATATCATTTGCTCAATTAGCATCCAGTTGCGATATTCATTAGATGTGAGTTTTATTCAAAGCGCTGAAGTTGAGCCTATTAGGAACATATCTGTATACCGACTTTCACTTTTGTACCTTGATTTATTCAGCGAACTTACAGAGCGCTTCAAGGTCGCCGGCGTTCCCACGCTGCTGGTGATGACACCCGATGGCACCGTCGTCTGCCCCAACGGCAAGAAGATGGTCCAGGAGCGCGGAGTGCAGGCGTTTCGCGATTGGCTCAGCCACTAAGACGTCATCGGACGTGCTCTTAGATGTGACGCCCTCCGTGAAGCCCGTTACTATGTCGAACGCTATTTGCTTATTTGCTTATTGTGGAGCAATATGCAACATTGCCTCAATTAAGGGCAAAACGTCAACCACATGTTATTCAGATATAATAAACGTGCTTATTTGATAGTTATTTATCGTGTTTTATTGTGCTATGGCCAGTGGTACAAAATTGGGGTAGTTTGTGTGCGTTGGTAAGGCACGTTCAATATATTCAAAGCTCTGTCTGACGACTACAAAAAATAACACATCACATACACAGTTGCTATGACCGTCCTTTGTGTTTCTGTCCTCGTCTTGTTGTGCGCCTTTAATTCATTTGACAAGAGAGTGTTAGCCGAAGGGCGCCACGTCATGATACCGAGTGTTGTCACTGATGTGGCTGTTCGGGGCCTAGAATTCTTTGCACTCATGCATCATGAGAGCGATTTAAAGTTAGTGTGGCAATGATGAACAACTAGTCTTCACGATAAAATATAAAACAGGGGTGGGCCTGGTATCATTGCTTTCGTTAATGCTTTCTTTAATGCCTGTGCATGTGGTATGAGAACTATGAAGTTTCTTTAAAAATGATAGCATTTTTACGAAAAAGAAAGCTGTTTCTTAATTAGTGAAACGACTGGATAAAGTGGGATTTGATGACAGATTCTCAAAAATATTTCAGAATTTCTTTTATTTCCGGCCATACAACAACATGAACGTTATATTTCGAAAAAAGAAATCTCACGAGAAGTGTCCTTGTCCTTCTTCTGGGATGCTTTGAGTTCGCACAGTCCTGGGCCCTTCGCTATGGTTCTTGGCTGGTCGCCGATGACTAAGCCGTCTTTACAAAAGCTCATTGGTGTGGTTTAAGGGTTGAATCGTTAGAAACCTGCAGCCTACTGCCATATATCGATGCGCTCCTGGTTATTCTCCAAAGGGCCATTGTGGAGAGAATTGTGTAGAGGTCCATGGGGCCTTTGATTACGTGTATAAATGTGCTAATCTGTACAGCGTGGACTAGTTTCAAACTCTCTAAATAATGACTTTTGTAGAATAGCGACCGTACTGTGGGTTAGTTTGTAATACCACGTGATTTTGTGGAACGAAACTATAGAGGAAGCATGCACGACGACTCGGCTTATTCAGAAATTAATCCTCCACGTCCTCTAGATCTTTACGTAAACGTGGTCATCTTCATCGCATCTTTATTTCGCGACGTAAAACCCAACATCATATTTATTATGGTCATTTTTCGGGGTAAAAAAGCTTACACGCATCTGAAATAAAGCACCGAGTGTGTCGCTCGTTTGGAGCTTGAAGCATAGGGTAGGCTGTTTATTTCTCGAATGTCTTTCTGAAATGGAAATCCTGGTCCATTAGCTAAAACGTTATAAACGTTTTCCTAAAAAGCTATTATTGTCCTTCACTGTTTAGCCAATTAGCTTGCGGGAATTTCGCTCATAATTATCTAACTGAAAATCAACGCGCGCTGAAGTACAATAAAAGCCCCGCCACGGTGGTCTAGTGGCTAAGGTACTCGGCTGCTGACCCGCAGGTCGCGGGATCGAATTCCGGCTGCGGCGGCCGCATTTCCGATGGAGACGGAAATGTTGTAGGCCCGTGTGCTCAGATTTGGGTGCACGTTAAAGAACCCCAGGTTGTCAAAATTTCCGGAGCCCTCCACTACAGCGTCTCTCATACTGTGGTGGTTTTGGGACGTTAAACCCACATATCAATGAATGAAGTACAAAAAAAAAAGCGCATGCCATGGTGTTTCCAAACAATGTATGTACATACGGTGCTTCAAAAGCGGGGTGTTTTAAAACCTTTTACCATTTCATAATTTGACGAAATTCAATTTAAAAGAAGGAGTTAACGATTTATAGTACCTCGTACTCTACTAAGCATAAAGCATAAAGCCGTCACGTGGGCCTCACACTTGATTAAGCACCGTCGACAAAAATTTGTCGTAACGACTACTGCTCTTGACTACTCTTGACTACTCTTGACTATTTTGACGGTCAGTGGAGCTTTGACGTGTACATATTTCGGCTCGACATGTACAGGTCACTTTCGTAAGAAACTGGAGGAGACTGTGACAAATGTATACATGATGACACCAGCGATGAGTGGCTATTCTGTGCGGATAGACATACTGAAACTGTCAAGGTACCCCTCATTTGCAAACAAATGTCTCTCATTTCACAACAGCAGCCTGTATACAGGCAAATTATGTTCGCAATGCCTAGTCAAGTAAGCTTATGCACTGTAAAAGTGTTTAAGCTTAGGCTGACTGTTAGCAAGAACGACAAAATAGTCCAACACATATTTGATTTTTCTTTAGTGCTTGCCCGGCATTTCACGGGTTTCTTCAAGGAAAACCCGTTCTCGCTCATGCAGCTTCCTGAACGAAACCCACGTTCCTGAGTCATACACTGTTTTTTTTAATGGCAGAAAAAGAGCCATAAATATTGTGTGAGAAGTCATTGCGCCTTAATTATTTCTAGCACTTGTGATGACTACCATTCATAAAATAAATTAGCTTGTTTCGACAGGAGAAACTTTCGCATTAATTATAGGTCATAAATGAAGATTCCAAGTGTACAACTGAATATAAAATTACTGTACTGCCAACCTTGTGGCGTATCTAGATGATGGCACACCGCGCTCGTAGCCCTGTCGAAATAATTCTGCTGCGGGATACAGAGGCCCGACCACCCTTGAACTTGAAGGATCTCCACTTCAGGTCGAGGAGGTGACCTCCCCAAAACATATTTCTCCTACGTCACTGCATGAACCATCCCGTCAACCTACGCTTGGACAAAAGTCAGCGTAATTTATTTCCCCATATAGAAAACTCAAAACACTACCGTCTGTAATCGATGTTGTTCAATATGCAAGAGTTACGCCAAATGAAAACAATAAGCACACAGTCATCAAAAGAATCAAGTGTGTATTCAGTCTTTACTCGGCAAGTATAAAAGAAATTCATGGGCTTGCTATGAACTCGCGCAGTGCGGATAATAATATTTGAGGGAATAAATGGTAAAAGTCAACGCCAGCTCGTATCATTGAATTGCGTCCACGCATTGCGTTGGGTTATGGCGCCTTTACAGTCTTGGTTATACTTGTGTTCAATGTTGTAATTGGCAGGAAGGCTTGAATAGAGAATAGCCACCCAAGAACAAAGTAGCAATAACTACGTTCCGATAGGGGGTATGCTGCGCTTGATCTGCAGAGCTTCCTTGCAAAAGTTTGGACGGCCTCATTTGGTTAGGAGTGTTGTAAGGGGGTGAGACAGTGTTACGAAAAAACGTACTCGTTCGATATACAATATTCTGCTGCCATGGTGAAATGGTCACGTGACCTGCCGTGATCGAAGAGGTATCGGGGAGAAGGCTTGTCACAATCTTTTCAGTGTGGAGTACGGAATAAGGCGCGGGGCTTCTTATCGTGTGTTAATTGCGGTGCACCGCTCGTGTCGACGTCTTGCGACTGTTGTCGTTTCGTGGCGTTGCAGCTCCCGTGTAAACTGTAACAGCTCTTGAGCGTGCCTCTTGGATCTTGTTATCGCTAGATCGCTTTAGGCTAGATCTCCTTCACGCCGTCGTCTTGTTGACGCTCCTAGCTTCGAACTGTTCCGCTGCCCTTGACATCAGCCGTGCTTCTTCGGCAGCTGCATCGCTCACGCTTGAATCGCGGCTTGGGTCGAAGGTAACTTCAATAACGGTTGCCGAGAAACCTGCAAGTATACGGTTTTTTTTTTCAAAAACTAACCAGATTTAAGGAAAAAGGTGTACTCTTTGAAATCATGGGAGGCTTACGAACGAGGAATCACGGGAGAAATCACGCGATGACAAGCGGTGTCTTCTATCAGCTATGCGTGGCGTCCTCCTAATCACACCATAGTTTTCTATGAATGCACTAGAGAGAACTCTAGCGTTAGTTTGTATGGGAGCTACAACGTACGGTCCTTCGGCGAGCATGTGAAACGTGGGTGGTACACATTATTTTATAATCTTCGTTCTTGCGGCTCCGTTCGGGTTCCAGTGGTTCTGAGCGGCTTTGCCACTAGACGAGAACCAACTTAACCTTTAGTGCCACCAATGCAAACTGGGTGACGAAGTTCACGATTACTTCGTTCATTCGAAACAAAAGCAAAACACATCAATAAACAAAAACCACGAGTGTCTTCGAAGCCGGCAAGCACGAAGACTAGACAAATTTGGGTACTACCCATCGATCACATGTTGGTTGAACAATCACTGCTCCAGAGTCTCATAACCTAACCTTACCTAACCTAACCTTGTCGCGCGACGGCCATGACGCATGAGAAATCTTGGTAGAAATCACAATAGAGCTTCCTCAAATTAACTACAAAGGAAGACTCTTGCTCTGCCATTGTTCAGCGACCAATGATGGATAGTATATGGATTTGCCTAGTACTCGTGCTTGCGTGCTTCGGACGCACCCGTGACTTTGTTTATCGCTGTGTTTTCAATTTTATTTTGAAACAAAAGAAGTAACCATTTCGAACTTCGCGAGTCGACTTGGATTGGTGAACCTAAAAAGTGGTGAAACGTAGGCCTTGGCAGATTGTCGTCTCGTGACAAAGCAAGTTCAAGTCAAGCGAAGCCAAATAGAGCCGAAAGTGCGAAGATTAGGCAAATCCGTGCACTACCTATAGTTCCCATGCTGGCTGAATAACCCTGTGTCGCAGCTTCCGTAGCCACTAGCAACAGAGTTTGCTCTAGTGTATTTATTGCAAACTGTGTGGATATCAACCAACGGCAAATGGTGTTTTTCACCCGGTTTGCGTGGCACCCTCCTAATCACAGCCCCGACTCTCCCAAACGCTCGCGGGAAGATCCTCTGTAGAAAGGAAAAGCCAAAGATCTGCGACAGAACGCAAACTTCTTGGGATGTTTCGCAGTGCCTAACGTTCGTAACATATGAAGTGTTCCGGCTTTTTTTTTTTAGTTTACTATGTCGCATACGTGAACGCATGGGTATGTTAGAAAATAGTTTTGATATAAAGGGTAATTCGACTTTCCCGATTTTGACATAGTTGTGTTCCACTGCACTATCATTACGTAATTTGTAGGTGGTGTTAAAAAGTGTGTTCAGAAAAAAAAAACTATCGCAGCATAT